GGAGCCACTACAACCTCATCCTATTGTGGTAACTAAGATATTGAACAAGGAGTGTCCTAGTTTCTTTCTATTGTTTGTACTATAGTTACTAGCAGTGCTCACAGAAAAGTGTCAAGGAATTACTGTACCTAAAATTTCAACTGATTACACATTCAATGTTTTTTTTTTTTTTATCATTAAGGCAGAATAGTAAAGTAGATAAGTCTGAAACACGTCTTATTGAATGATGGAGGTCATGGGTTTTAAAATTGTTCTGTTGGTGTATGCGGTCCCCCAAGGGGTACCGCTACACCCACAGCTGTTGACGTCCATCTTACATTTCCTGTAATTGTTAGGTTAAGAACGAAACAGGATTTATTCAAAGGGCCTTTATTTTCAGATAGAGGAATAATATTAACAAAACCAACTACAGGACTACGATTCACTTGGGAATTAATATGATATAATAATATGAATGCCAATAACCATTCACCACTGGGATAGAAGACGAATCTGTGAGCTGTACCAACAAAAGGAAAAACAAAACACGACAAAGTTCCATTCACATCTACCAACAGAAACCCAAAATTTTCGTCTTCGATCCCACTCACATTAACAAGAAAATCTGACGAGAATCTTCAGAGGACAGCATCTATATTGTGATACGAAGTGGAAAATAAAACATATCTGATTTGGCCTTGGCGCCGGCAGCAGTGGCGTGACGGTGCATTTGGCAGTGCAGCGGTACGACGCTCGGAAAAATAGTACTGTATACCCAGTTATATATGAAGATGCGAGAGGTTAAGAGAAAGCGTGACTATATTCACATTAAAGCCGTTTATGTTAACATGCACTTAGTATACCGTTTGTATGGTTATCAACAGACGAAGTACAGTGTTTCAAACATCATATATAATTTGTTTACTTGATACGCGAGTGGTAACTTATGAACAATTTAATGTTAGCTGATGAATACACAGATACAAGGTTAATATATACTATTGTCATCTCACAGTGTCAGCACGAGTGTATGTGTGTCACCTCAGTAGTGTCAATACCCTGTGATTGGGGGCTTGGTTTTCAGTTACATCTGTGTCGGTAAACACAAATACCGAGTGTGTGTCTTCCCTCTAACACTAGTGTCATTAATTTTCCTGTATGTGTCGTGATGCCTAAGAGTGGAAATAGTACGTACTACATTTTTCACTGACATACAAATAGTGGTGGAAATATTGGTGTACTTTTGGAGTTGTCCCTTTTTCATCGTTCGTGTTCGTCACATTAATAACTGAAAACATCGTATGTGTGTGTGTGTACCTCTCAGCACCATGTCTGTCTACCAGCCACCAATATGTATGTATGTATGTCTGTAAGTTTTGTCTCTACATTTACAGTGAGGTTTTATTTGTCAGAATCATTTAATGTGTACTTGTCTTAATATCCCGCCTGCATTTCATACATTTTAACTACTTGCATCTTTACACAAATAACTACTACAGTAAATGTGTAAATATCATCTACAAGACATCACCCATTAGTATGTGTCTAAGTCACGTATCTGGTTTTTTTTTTTCTTTATTTCCGCCCACCACCAAAAACGTTAGTGTAGTATTAGAAGAATGTCTGTATTGTTATGCCAACTATGCGGGTTAGTTTCATTTACGGCACAGCACGTGATAGTTGTATCGCCTGAGACATACCTGGTGCTCTTTTTCTCTCTCTTGGGTTTCACTGAGAACTATCTGTTGCAAGTATGTCTGTATCTCCTATCAACAACCAATATATGTGTTATGTATCATCTGTGTTACAGCGTCTGGTTGACTGCACTGCCCCCTGCACACCACCGTCCTGCTCGGGCCGGGTCTATGGTGATTCAACTAAAGCATCGTGGACCCCGCGGGACCTGTTATGGGTACAGAAAGGCACACAAGTTGTCAAAAATGGGATCGTGGTTCTCCCATAGTTGAAGTCAACAAATGGGCAAGGTACCACCATGGGAATGAACTAAAGACATACCCACTGACTAAAAGAGAGAGAGAGAGATGGAGAAAGAGAGAGAGATGGAGAAAAAGAGAGAGATGGAGAAAGAGAGAGAGACAGAGAACTTGACAGATCAAATAGGTATTGATTTTTATCGCACTCACAATGATAAATGACATATTTACATCAAGATGAGTGTAATGACTCAAAAGCTTTGAACTGAGACTTCACATATTTCCTGTAGAGCCTCTTTACACATCCTGAAATGATCACCACGCCATTCATGCTGCAATAGGTTAGTAAGGTGGTATCATAAAAATCTAGGTGAGGTGCGTGGGGGGGAATCCGAGAACCTCTACGTTCGCCCTGGGTACAGAGGCAAGAATCCCCCCGACCTCTAGGAGTTGGAAACGGCATGCCAACACGTAACAAGATAAGTTAGGATCGGTAACGGAACGTGCCCGGGATGTTACGACGTGCACGCGGATCTCGCTCGCCTCGTACTAAAAAAAAATAGGCAAAAAATAAAATATAATCAAAGGGGTAACTCAATCTTTCACTTTAGGGTGAGTGCAAAGTTCCTAACATCCCAAGCATGCTCGCTGTGCTATGGAGGAAAAACTGGACAACAGAATGGTATAGCAGGAGAGTTTTTCTTTTTTCCTTTAGGTATAAGGGACAACTATGTACACACAATTGGAAGATTCTGCTTATCCTTGCTCGCACAGTCATGCAGTTGCTCTCCTTATGGCCTTCCGACGGCACTTCCGTCCGTCTCTTACCTGTCTCTGGGCATTTCTACGTCTTTTCCCCCTCTCTTGTTCCACCGGCACCCCTACAGAGGTTTCCCTCTTCCACTTTTGCTCCCAAAGACATATTTTCCCCCAACTTTCCCCTTCCTCCTCCTGTCAATTTCTAGAAAAAAAATTATCTAAATTTCTAGCCATCAATCTTATAGTGTGTTTTCAGCCTCTTTCACCAGTTCTCTTTTAAGGCCCCCTTCATCTACTTTACCTTGACGACTCTCTCCCCGTGTGTTTTAATCCCTCCCCCTAAAAATCAATTTCTTCCACCTGTTCAGCCTCTCAGGTCACACAACTTTCCTCTGCCATGTCTATATACTTCCACAAACAGGACTTTCTCCTTCAGTAACCTACAAGGGCGCTTCTCTTCCCGTCGTGACTTCTAGATCGCCTAACTTCTCGTGCCTCTCCCTACCATTGGCCTCCCCGGGGCTTCCATCTTCTCGACGCCTAGTTAGCCAACGGGGTATACCTTCAGAGCAGCGGACAACGTCGTTACTGAGGATTGACGACCGATCGTAAAATCCCACCGGCTTCAATTTCTAAAGCTATTCATTTTTTTTTCCGATATGAAATATTTAAAAGTAACAAATATATTTCGTATGATTTCTATTTCATTTTTACCTTGTTTTATTACCCGTTTACCAATGTCATCCCCTGAATTTAAGCTACCGTTTCCCATTAATGTACATTTTCTTCCGTTTTTAAAGTTCTCGTTACACTTTTGTGTATAGATGCTCGTTTTCTTATAGAGTAATTATGAAAACACAAGTGACCAATCCCTATTATAACACCTGGACATCATTTTGACCTGGGCTCAGTAACCTCTGTTGCTCTGCTGCTGCTCCACGCCTTGTAAAAAATATCCGCGGATACCTACGGCTACCCGGTCGTCGGTACCCGTCGCTGCGAGAGTTCAAACGTGCCAATATTTAACAGGTACAATATGTGCCCGTTCGTTAAGAAAACACACCGACGGTCCAGACGAAACACGCACACGCACATACACACACACGCACACACGCGCGCTAGACGCCGACTAGCGACGGATGCCACGCCAAGAGCCACAGTGAGCCCGAGAAAGCCCGCAACTAAAAGACATTTTCTCTGTGTTGTGAGTAGGAAAATGGGCTTTAATTACTAACCGACTTGGGCTTACTCTTGCCGGTTGCGAGACAAATAAATGCACCGCTAATAGACTAGTAGAACGGTCGACGCCGTATCCTCGTGCTTCCCCTGTCCGACGTAGTGGACCTGAACCGGTTAAAGTAAAAGTTAGGAAAATACATAACAATCACCCAATTATTCATAATTACAGACGAGGACTAACCTAATGGTAAAATGATATGTACAATGGATTGCTTATTGAATCTGAGGTCAAAGGCGAAATATGAATGTGCACCTTTTGATAATATGTGCCAAGATCACATAGAAAAATAAGAGTTTGTGCTCACAACTTAAATCACGTGATTAATTCAAATATTCATTATTTTCTCGCTTAAAGAGAAGTAAAAGAGTAATGCAGCACAAAACAGTAGACTTACCCTATGACCATTTAACAGCAAATGGGAAAGTAACCCTTAAGGTTCGGTTGTTTTCTTTCACGCCACCACAAAAAATGGGACAGTCGCGCGACTTCGGCCGCGTGGGCGCTCGAAGCTACCGGGACGCTTCCTTCGGAATAATATATTACTGCAACTGGTGTATATGTTGTACATCTTACCAGTATTGTATTATACAGAATGAACACCATCATCTTTAAATGACTCAAAATACTATTTTACAAACTTTTAAACAAGGTTTTGGAAGAGCAGAGAACTTGTATTCCATTGAAACGAGAACGCGCAGCTTCTGTACGGATTTCTATTTTGTAACTCTGCGCTTATTTCTCGTGCCTTCTCGACGGTCCGCCCGTGTAGTCCGGGGTCGTCGTCGTCGTCGTTCGCGATGCCGTATCGCACCCGTTCCCTCTCGTGGTCGTGCACGGCCGCGTCTCTCTTTTGGATGACTTCTGCTTTCTGTGCGACGTTCCGGAAGGGCGCCGACGAATCGGTCCGTCAAAAATCTCTCGGTCTAAAGTTTGATTAAATCCCTAAATTAATTCAACCATTTAATTACCCCAAATGTCCACCCAATTAGTGTTTGTGCTTATTTTTCATCCGTCGGCAGCCGTGCGCGCAAACTTCGCACGGAACGAGTCTCCGCGGACGTCGGCGGTCGCCTCTGGACTCGGCCCTCCGACGATCCCGTGATGGGTCTTCCGGTGTCCTCCTCTGCCGGGAGCCCCTCGCCGGAGTTCCCTCCTTTTTTGCCGACGGCCGACACGACCCGACCGTTGTCGTCCGTCGCTGGATGATGGAGGCAAACTTTGCACTGGAGCATAATGCTCCCTCTTCAATCTGTCTACTGGGTGATGGGTGGCTCGCCTCTCACTTCAGACTTGAGCTTGACGAACTCCTTTGCTACCTCGTCGTTGGTGCGCTGACTCAGAATTCTCAGCACTGTCCATCCGGTTTCGTCCATGTGGCATCGCTTACCCAGGGAGAGCCATGTCGCGCAGGAGCCCTGAAGAGATGCCAAACACTTCTAAGAAAATGACAAATCGCGTGACACGTCAGAGTGTCTGCCACTAGTAATGAAGAGCTCGACTTCGTCAAGAAATCAAATGTTATGCTCATTACAAGTTTACCCGATAATAATTTTTCATCACTTCAAAATTCAACAAAGTTTTTTCACATACTGTACTAACACAGTGATACAAATGACTTATTTGTGTAATATTTGAGTGTTCAGAAAATCAAAGTGAGAAATAACGATACCTGGTCAACGATATCTCTCAGCTGAAGCACGGCCACGCCGACGAGCCGGTCGTCGCGTGCAAAGCAGTAGTCCTTCACGCAGATGTGAAGCTCAAAGCTCTTTGGACTTTCTTCACTCCCAATTAAGCTGAAAACAGGATAATATTCGTGAATTTTTATGCATAATTACTAATTTCCATAGTTGTACCTTACTTTACAAAACACTTAGCATTTTCATAATATAAGTGAGGAAAAGAACACAAAAAATTTTAAATATAAGTAACTAAGCTAAACATCTTTTCGAACCGCATCCAAATATTTAGGGAGTGGCAGCCCCCTGATAGCAAGGGTTACCGGAGACCGCAGCGCAACAGGTACGCCTTATCTACCCTGTCTGGCAGTAGAATTAATCCTGTGCACATTACTTACAGGTTTTGTTGTAATTATTTTTGCTTAGTGAGTTGCTTAATAAGTAAAACTCCCATTTTCATATACCACTTCAGGTTAATAAACAAATATGTCATGATAGTTTCATGTCATTCCCGTGACATAGACCCACTGACGGATCCTATCCTTAATAATCCACTTACTGGGTCAATCGTTCTCCCTTGCATTCCGTATCTACAACTTCCACAATAAAATCACTCAAAATAAACCTTCTTCCCTATTCCACCGACCACGATGGGTTGTACGCTCCTAAATTTTCTCGACGCGGTTTTTCCCCCGCGCATATTTCTCCTGCCGTGATTCTTGGCTCTAATTTTCTTTCCCAATGACTTATGTGTTGCTTCTACCCTCTTACAGACCTATGTTGATAATGGTTCTATGTGACGAGAGAAAACTTACAATTGGACACTCTCGTTGTACTTGGGCGACCAGCTGTTGGATTTGGATTTCGTGGCAAACTTTCTCTTCTTGTCGGCCAAGTGAGGACCGATCAGGTTGACCTCGACGAAGGGTCTGAACATTCCCCCGGCTGTTGTCGGCCACCGGAGATCGTTGGCTGCCACGACTACGTACACAAATGATATAATAAATGTCAAGTTGGTATCTAAATCAAAATACAGTTACAGTATTAATCTTTCTGAATAACCAATACTGATTGTTACAAATTACATTTTATTTACATTGCCATTTGACTCATCATACAGAACATGCCATTATGTGACATAAGAATGGAGAGGTAAACACCGTGAAGGTTAGGTCAGGTTATGTGTGCCGGACAAAAATAATCTCCGCGTCGGTCGGGAACGGTATTCCAAGAACTAACCGACACGGCCGAGGAAATAAAAATCTTTGTACAAGTCTCTAAAAAATTGTATGGTGGCAACTACCAAGTATATGAATCATAAACTCTCAACAGGATTTTTGACACCGTCAAAGTTACCGGCCGAGTCTTTACGTTACTCGTTAGGGAAAACTAGCACGTGTATTTTCCCTTCGTTATAATCGCAGAGAAAATTCCGTACCATCGTTCAGAGTTTATGATGATACTGTATAAGAATAAGTAATTAAAGTAAATATCAATAACACTTTGATTCGTAACCTTAAAACATGATCACCAAAAGTTAGGTTTCAATGCTACACAGACACAGAGAGGATCGACACAAAAGGTCACTCACCCTTGACATTGATCCTTTGTTCCCCAGTCCCCGGATGAGTGTACAGGTCCACCTGAATGCTGATTTCTCCGACGGTGCCTTCTTCGGTAGAACCTGCGGGTGACGGTACGGTGAGAACGTACGCGGTGACGACGAAGGACTCGGTGGGGGTCGCTACAGAGTGTGGCGTGAGTTTGGCCGAGGTGCAAATAATCTCTCCATATGTCTTATGTATTGACCAGACTCTTACTACAACTTCAAGAACTGAAGGAAAGTGTGGCACAGGCTGAATAATATCTATGTGTGTTGCACCAGAGAGTGACCCACTGTACTATATAAAACTATACAAAATATTAACTTTTTGTATCAATGTTAATGTTTAAAAATTATTTATATGTAAAGAAAATAATACTGCTAAGGCATGCATATTATATATAAAATTAATTCTCGTCAGTAATACGTATTATATTTTAGTACGGCAGACTACGACAGACAACATGCTGTGAGATAAACAACAAACTTCTACAACATCAATAAGACAAATGTATGGAAGATGAAAGTCACAAGACAGAAAAATGCATTCCACAATAATGGCCGAACATTCTCGCGACATCCAAGACAATGCCCGTGTGTGTCACGACAAGGTTAAAAGCATCTGCTACAATATTCTCTGGGGGAAACTGAAGACTGATAGATGTCAAAGACAAGCCCAAACAAAACCAGTGTTAAATGTTTTCTTTGTCGTCACGCTGAGGGCTGTACTAGGGACCACGTGACGGTACTGTACACGCTCGCGCTGGACGATCAAAAATGCAGTCGTGGTAAAAAACTGAAAAGAGGGTAAATGTTTGGGGATAGTTGAAGCATCTGACAATGAACCATACTTTGAAATGTTAAACAGAATTACAGTTATTACAATTAGCATTTCTATATAACAAATATTGTTCTAATTTTGTAATACATTTAAGGTTCTGCATATTTGAATCGCGTCCAGACACAAGCATTGTCGTGTCAAGCTGCAGACGGAAAACTGCCGAACCACAAGATGCTCTAGTTTATATCATATTGGATGCTACGGTTCCTCGCTAGGTGGAATGATGCCATTCTCTCTAAGGCTGAGTTCGTAAACTCACTACTCCCCAAGACGGGAACTGCTCGTTCTTACTCGAGGGTCCCGTGCTCTTGGGAAGCGCGGGACCCCAAAATAAGCGCGACAGTCTCGTGATTTTACGACATCTCGTCTTGTCCAGTGCTTGTGACGTCTCTGGCAATATTAAACGTGTGACACAGATCCAGAAGGAGATAAAGTTAATGGAAATATTGCACAGGAGTCTCACAGTCACAGTCACTTTGACTCGTTTTACGAACCCATCAAAAACTAAATGTATGTATATATTTTTTTCTTTCTAGGAAGACGCTACTCGCTAGGAGAAGAGGAGACGAGGCTTGACTGTGCATACTCCCGATCCCTCATCTTTACCTCGCTTATCGCTCAAACTCAGTTTCTTTCGGGTTTGGATCGGCTTAATCGGATCGTCGTTATCGTCCTCGGCTTCGGGTTCTTCCTCGTCCTCCTCTTCATCCACCGGTACATATTCCTCCTTTTTCTTTTTCTTGGCCTTACCCGGAAACTTACTGTCGTTTGCGGGAACTTGGTGGGAGAAGGGAGGAGTCATGTAGTGTAGCCCGACTCTGGACTTATAGAATATCTCTGGTTCTGGTGGCTTTAGTGTGCATCTTGTATACTGTACTGTACAACTCTTGTGTCCAATAACTACCCCCACTCACTTAATACCATTACTTAACAAACACTAATTTATTACCCTACAAATATCTCAATATTGGAACATTATAAGAAATTTCTCAAAAATTTAGTCTTCAAAAACACTTTATGTACTCAGGTGATTAAAAAACCCTTTTGAATGTTTGAATTTTTCCAGAGAGATAATGTCACATCAAAATTATTGTGTTTACGATATACTCTACAATATTTATTTAACTGCGGTAACAAAAATAAACACTAATATACCTTATTTATATAATACTCAAGTGAGAGAAAATATTAAATCAAATTATTGTAATCATATTGTAACTGAGAAAATAATTATTTATTAGATGAAATATACTTGAATTTACAAAAAAAAAGCCAATGGTAAATACATAAAGAAATATTATAGTTGTGTAGAATTCTTGTAAATTTCAATATAAATGTTAATATATTTTTGGTCCTGGATTTTCAATTATTCATATATTATTTCATCCTTCTAATTATAAAACATATAAAATCTATGAATGATTTCAAAAAGTTATCTGTTATCTTTGTTTCTTAATTCAATTAGTTTGTTGTATCCTGAAGTCTCCAGTTAAGAGGAGAATTAATTTATAAACTATTGAAAATCCAGACTACCATTGTTAAGATCTTACAGCTGTATAATGAGGGTGACTTGAGCTGAAGGACACTAGACAAACTCGATACTTTTAAAAATAAAGACAAACTTCGTGGAGTTATGCCTAAAGCGTCCATAATCTTCACTAACATATAAAAAAAAAAATACTGAGAAGAATTATAATGAGTTGCTGTCGTAATAAGAGACAGATCCCAACGGCCAATCAATTTCTGAATGGAGAGACTCTTTCGGTTGGGTAGTTTTACGCAGTTGATGATGTGACACAAATATATCATTGAATATTGCTCTACTTTATATCAATATTCTACCAAGTCTTATTAAAACATTTGATAAATTGTAAAGTCAAAGTACAGTTGCCAGCACTTATGCCTGGTACAGTGGTTGGCATGTTTTGTGAGATGTGGCACCTCTGTGTTTATTTACATCATGTTAAAACCCCCCCAGAATGGCTGAAAGGAACCTCACAATAGTAGGCAGACTAAGAATGTTAGATGCCACATCTCACAAAACATGCCAACCACTGTACCAGGCATAAGTGCTGGCAACTGTACATATAAATACCACAGATATTTGATAATTTATAAGGTGCTTCACAGTGCAGACTAAAGCCACCATTTTTCTGCTAAGTCACATCACAAGCGAACCTGAGCCTTATTCTTGGTGTTCTTAAGGTTCATTTCGCAACATTTATCAAACATTAAAAATTTAAATAACATAGAAGGTAAACTGCCAACGACCCATTTTTTGCAATTTTGAAACGATGATTCCTGAACTTACATGTATAATTCACCTTATGTATGTATGCGTGTACAGTATGTATAAACACACACACATACATAAAAATACCCTCAAAATAAGAAAATATACATCCAGTAAATACATAGGTAGAAATATATTAAGGCACAGTAGAACCTCGATGTTCCTAGAGAGAGAGAGACAGACTAACTTAACTTGCAACGACTTAAACACAACTCAAAAAATAATACCAAATAACGCTCAAAGTAAAAAAAAAATCTATATAATTTTACTTTTACCTCTGAATTAATCTTACTGCCATGGTTTTGATTATAGTACCTGTAATTAAGATCCTACAATACTTTATTTTCACCCAAATAAAGAAAAAAAAAAAAAATATTTGAACCCGAGTTATGCTAATTAATTTACTGTATTTTGTATTTTGTAATTTTTGACAGTATTGCTGCCTTACTTGTTAACAGCTATGTGAGGATATAGTATTTTCCCTATACTTAACAGGATGTAGTCACTTCCAACAGGATATAGACACCTCCGCCCTTGTTACTTAGGTGTGGGTTATGAACAAAACTTATGAGGAAAATACAGTAATTTCAATATAGACACAAATAATGGCAACTTTAAACTGTAAATAATGGCAACTTTAAACTGTAAATAATGGTAAGTTTAAACTGTAAATAATGGCAACTTTAAACTGTAAATAATGGCAACTTTAAACTGTAAATAATGGTAAGTTTAAACTGTAAATAATGGCAACTTTAAATTGTAAATAATGGCAGCTCTAAACTGTAAATAATGGCAGCTTTAAACTGTAAATACAGTAGGGTATGCTATAATGAATGGATTCTATTACGAATATTCCTACAACGAACGGTTTTACCTATAAAATTGAGAATGCTATAACGAACGAAACTCCTACAATAAATTTTTTTTTCTTTTGTTTTTTTTACTAATTTATTGTTTTTTTTATTACAAGTATTAATTATATTCTTTATTTCAGGGGTTTAGATGCATATTTATGCACTTTTTTAATTTTTTTTTTCAATTTTATATTATATTTTTCAGTGTTAAGTGGTTGTATTTGGGGGCCTGGAACGAATTAATCCTATAACGAACGAATGCTATAACGAACAAGGTTCTAGAACCAATTAGATTCGTTATAGCATACCCCACTGTAATGGCAACTTTAAACTGTAAATAATGGCAGCTTTAAACTGTAAATAATGGCAGCTTTAAACTGTAAATAATGGTAACTTTAAACTACAAATAATGGCAACTTTAAACTGTAAATAATGGCAACTTTAAACTATAAATAATGGTAACTTTAAACTGTAAATAATGGCAACTTTAAACTGTAAATAATGGGAACTTTAAACTGTAAATAATGACAACTTTAAACTGTAAATAATGGCAACTTTAAACTACAAATACTAATGGCAACTTTAAACTATAAATAATGGCAACTTCAACCTATCTTCTTCAACAACTGATAAAATAGTTATCTTAGAATAAAAAATGAAAGTCAATTTAGCATGTGATTAAAAACACTATGGAGAAGTTTTTAATTTTTCTGAAGAAGTCAAGAACTGTTGCCAGATCTGGAGTTAATTTCCATGGCTATCGAGGCTCTACTGTATAACTAAATAAATAGATGTATATTGTAATTTGTACTTATCATGCTCTGAGTAATATGTAATGGCAATACTGTGTGCTGTTGGGAGAAGAGAAGAGAGAAAGAAAAGAGAGAGAAAGAGAGAGAGAGTTATACAGCTCAAGAATCATTTCTTAATGCCAATATGAGGTGCTCTGTGTGTTGACATGTGCGTGCCTGTGCATTTTTTAAGGTTGTTCATGCACGTGATTCATATTATTGCAGGACTTTTCCGTGTTTGTTTACGATCGTCTTCCTGTGGTGAATGTTGGCATAAGAATCCGCTTGTGTCATATACAGTAGAACTTCACAACTCTGTCCTAATTGGGTGATTAACATTGGTGAGTAGTTTAAAATGCCAAACAAATGAGGCATACTGAATGGAGGTCATATTTTCCACTGCCCTTATGGTAATGGTGTACAGTGGGCAGTTGTAGTACAGTACCTTGAGAACATGTAAGATCCCACCTAAAATATGGGGTTTAAAAACAAAAAATAAAACATTCATAAACACATATGCTGGTAATATACGATAGACCCGTACGTCCGGCTCGTAAATATTCCGGAAACGGCGACGTTGGTGGAGGCGGCGGACGGGCGCGTCTTGGCATGACGAGAGAAGCGCGGCGAGTGGCGGTGCACCCGCAGATCGCTTCCTGGCAAATGCCTCGGATTCTTCCCGTGGTGCCGTATTTAAATGGACGGATAGGAGTACTTGGGGCATTATCATTAGTATTCAATTGGTTAATGAAAATGTGTGAGGAACCGCATTAATGAACGAACAAGAGGCGAAGAAGCAAAGTTCTACTGTATATCTAAATATGCATCTGTTACAGTAAGACTTGGATATATGTGCGCCATATTGGTTGTTAAAAGAGAGAGTATTTATTGTTTGAGGTAAGACTATCAGTGTATGGTCAAGAGTGTTTTATACTGTATGTCTGTCTTAAAAAAGATCTATATTAACTTTTACATTCAATTAAGAAAAAACACTATTGTGTATCCAAAAATGGAACAATTTAAACAACATAATGTATCATACATTGTAGTCAAAATAGACTATTCACTTGTCGTAAAATTATGTCAATACTGTATGTGGTAACAAGTTCAAACTGACAAATAAATTAAAATGAAAAAAGATAAAATACATAAAAAAATAATTACTTATAAATACTGTTGTTGTTGCTAAGAGAAATGCACCAGGAAAACGTGGAATCTATAGACAGCTCGTCGGAGAAGAGTGGCCGAGAATGTGAGGTTAAGTGGGGTCAGTGGCAGTGTACCTCCAGGGGGCACCGAGAGGGACTGGTGTGCCGCGCAGAAAGCATATGAGCCAGCAAGCCAAGAAGAGACACAGCGGTGGTGGGAAGCATAAGGTGCCCGAGTTTGGAGAGTGAGACATGCTCCGTGTGTTTCGTTAAAAGAAGATGCATGTAACTGTTCTGCTCTGCTCAAATTGCTCAGGGAGACACACTGATCAAGTTAATTTATACAGAGAAATTTGTGGGATATTGTCTTGTCAGCAAATAGATTGTAGTACTGCTAAAGAGACAGGTCATGGAAGACGTTATTGAAAAGCCTTCAACTGTGCTGAGTGGCAGAAACGCATTAAGAATTTATAGTGAGAGCTAGGTACTATTTTGGTGGTGAGACATTTTACCAAATCCAATCATGCACACTGAGACACTGAAATCTGAGAGAAAACTATTATAGTTTATGTTACTCCATCGAAGAAAACGGAAGAATGTACCCATAAAACCCCCCCGCAAAACACCATTCTCTAATCCCCAGAAGTAACTTACCTTGGTTAGTCTGCGTGGTACAGAATGTCTTGATGAGTGTGTCTGTAGTCTGTGTGTATAATGACAAGGCATAATTCAGAGATTTCAGTTCGGTGGACTTGTCGAGGAAGTTCTTTTTAAGGCCGTTGCCTCCTGCGTGGAAGTACTGTTTGATGGTATCTAGGGCCACCTCTAGAACAGCACACTGCTTGGGCGTTAGGTTACGCTCGAAGTCCTTGGAGATATCCTGTTGGAGGTGAATTTAATTAGCTAAACCAATACTTAACTATTTTATAATTAGATGAATCAAACAAAAAACAACAAAGAAAACAGTAAATAAACAAATCATTACAATATAAGTAATAAAACACTCAATGGGCTTCATAACTACATGTAATCAATTCCTTTAGTTAATGATGTAAAATAAACAGTGGTAAATATTCAGACAGAGTTCATTAATGGCGCCTTTTGGGTAATAAACAAACTACCTGTACAAAAATTACACGTGACAAAAATTTTGATTTGTACTGCACGATGTAAACACTGGGACCCTTCTCTGAGGTGACTGATTATTCTGTCTGTCATATATTCACCACAAAACTTAATTAATGGTTAAAAAAAATGAAAATTATAAACTGATATTAACAAATTTAAATGAACTAGAAAAATCACAATAAGAAAAGGTAATTAGTCAATCCCATCTCACCTACCATTAGTTAATAAGGGATAAAGTCACTCCAAAATATTAGTTAATATAAAATGGTATAAAGATTTATTACCATGTAGATAAAACTAAGAGTGGCAGCATAATAAAAACAAAACACTAAAGAATAAAATCTTAAATAAAATGCAACAAGTGAAATGGAGAAATACTTTGCATAAATAGAAAAAATGGACTCAATAACAAAACATGTACTCAATAACAAAAAATGGACTCTAACAAAACATGTACTCTAACAAAACATGTGCTCAATAACAAATCATGTACTCATTAACCAAAAAATTTACAAATAACCCCAAAAAATTTACTCGGTAACAAAAAAATGTACGTACTCAATAAAAAAAAATCAATAACCAAAAAAAAAATGTACTCAATGACCAAAAATGCACTTAATGACAAAAAAATTTACTCAATAACAAAGAAACTTACTCATATGGCTTTATAATAAGAGCATAGAAGACAATAATTCCATTTCTAACACAACTACAAAATAAAGATTACATATGCAATTATTATCTTCACTACAATAACTCTACATGCAGCAGTAATTAAGTATTTTTTTTTACATTTAAAATAGCAAAAAAATACACAAGAAAATGACTACAGGTAACTACATTACTTTCTAAATATCAATCACACACTAATAAATTTATCACACATAACACACTATTAGGAAAATGCATCAAATAACTACACTTGAACATAATAATATACTAAATAAAATATAATAAAATATAACAAACATATAGAAGACACTAATATATGATCATTTCTATATAAAACATAATTTGAAAACAAGCGACAAGTCCAAAAAAATCAGATAATGTAAATAAAAAAAATCTACGGCACTCTAAACCTCTCGACAAAGGCAAGGTAAAATACTACGCATGCTTAATCCCTTAAACATAGAGTCAGACCATTATATTCGAGACGGCATTCTTGACGTCTTTGCCGCCGGCCAATTGGTTCTTGAAGAGACGAGACATATCCTCAATCTTAGCGTTGGCGGCCAGATTCTTGGCATTGTCCGTCAGGTTCTTGAGCATCATCTGGTGGTACGGTATGCAGCGTGTGGGGAGGGGGGGGGAAAGGCCGGGTTATTATGGGGTTTTATATCAGGTGGGCCATAGGTCATATGATAAGGTGGGGATATTGATAATGTTGTCAGGTGTGTGTGTGTGTGTTGGCAGGTAAGTGATGGTGGTGATGTATGTTGGCAGGTGTGTGTGGTGATAATGCTGTGTTGGCAGGTGTGTGGTGGTAATGCTGTGTTGGCAAGTGTGTGTGGTAATGCTGTGTTGGCAGGTGTGTGGTGATAATGCTGTGTTGGCAGGTGTGTGTGGTGGTAATGCTGTGTTGGCAGGTGTGTGGTGGTATCTGGGTATTAGCAGGTGTGGGTATGTTAATATCAGGTGAAGGTATCAGGTGAAGGTATCTAGTAGACTATGAAATAAGGAACACAAAAACATTATACTGGTAGCTCACTGATACCTTCCTCATACCAAACACTGAGCTATCCTGTATAAACACATCCTAAGTAAGGTACAAGTTATGAGTATCTACAAAATATTTCCATTTTTTTTAAATTAGGCAGATTTCAGGATTTCAGGAATTATCAGCATTTCTATAACACTTAATATCTCAGTGGCACACAGAACCTTGAATGATTTGCCTATAGATTTTATATGTGTCTTTCTCTTAAATGCACCCGAGTTAATTTATAAAGTGAAAATTCCTCCAGTCATTAATTTGATATTTTCCTGATGTGAAAAAATTATTTATATTCTAAGTTCTTGTGCTCAATGTCTACTGTCTAAATTCTTTTACTTGATGTTTCTTTATACAGATGAACTTCCCTGACCATCTGCCTCTAGTCCTAAAATACTTTCTAAGAAATTACTTTCCACCACATGCACTCTGGTCTCATCTCAGTAATGCAGGAGGCAGAGACTTTCCTGACAATTGTTGTCACACATTCAGGAAGGAATTTCTTTTCATTCTCTGTGTATTTTATTTCTTTCACAACCTAACTCACTTGGAATGTTGACAGAGGAATTTCTTGAGTTAAAAATGTGATTGTTGGTATAAATATCAATAAATATTCTAAAAGAAATAATTTGTATCTTTACAGGATGTTTGTAGGTAAAGGAGGTGAAGTAAAGAAACATTTACATCACAGGGTGTCCAGATCACACCCTCTGTGTTTGTTGGCTTGTAAGACACACAATTCATAATGAGGAATGAAAAATACCAGTAACCAGATCACTTGTGTGCCTTCTCTGGTGTAGAGAGCAACTCAGAGTGAAAAAACAAGTACATAAAAGGCTGTAAGGAATGACTTCTCTGTATCCACTAAAGGTGAGGAAACAAGTACAGTATATTACAGGAGGTAAAGAACACATCCTCTGTATTTTCTTCATGTTACAGTAATCCCTTTAAAATGAAGCAGACACAAATTCTGAACACAGGCACATTTTTTTAATCAAGTACCATAAATAATTACTGTATCTAAGTATGTGGAACTTACAGGAATCCGAAAATTGGTAAGAATAAAATGTTCTTTACAATGATCAGACATTATTCCTACGTATCTTTAGGTTCCTGTTTATTGTACATCCTAAAAAATAATCTTTTAAGGTTCTTGAATAAACAAATGAGCCTGTGTTAATAAATACTTCTGCCACAGTAACTTTTCTCTGTATATGGGAAAAGTCAACACAAACTGGTACCTGGGAAGAGAACCGTGAGTTATGATCCGGTAATGAGAAAATCTTACCGCCTTGTCGGTCATGGGAGGCAGCACGACCGTCTTCTCCATCGTGGTCATGACAATCTTCCACAGTTCCTTCAGGAGTCTCTTCAGCACTGTCTTCTCACAGGACTGGGCATAAAGAGTGAGGGAGACCTCCAGCAAGTCCATCAAGGGCACTAATACGTCGTCGGCCTCGATGGCGACTTCGTTGCGTTGTGATGGCTGCACCTGGCCTGTGCCCTTCACCGCTGCCAGTTTGTCGCCCATTTCTTTCACCTTTACAGCAATACGACCCTCCAAGCTGAATGAGGAATAAGAAAAAGCATTTATTGTAATGGAGATTGCTGAACTGTGATCTTATTGCAGCTGAAAATTCCTTATCTATACAAGTGACCCTGGATCTATTAAATTAATTTCATTTTGAAATTCATCCGATCCCTCCGTAAAGTCGCCTATTGGAGCGAGTGTGCATAAAACTGATCCCTTGAACCATGACCAGTACTCAGAGACTTCATCAACAGTATACACAGGATTAAAAAATATATTTGGTTATAAAATGTTCAATAAAACTTTAGTCACTGTGTACAGGCAGCTGGACTAGGAGAGAACACTATATCACACCGATTGGTTTAGGTCATGGGAACAATAGACCCAGACATGATATACACTGTCTAACTTACCTCTTGGCAAACTTATGAGCAAGTTCATCCAGGACTGTGTTGAGGGTACCCTGTAGCTCATTGAGGATGGTGGCGACGTCTTCCTCTAGGTTCCCGCCGCCCATCTTCTCGTACATCTTCTCCAGCTGAACTCTTAGTTGTTGGATGTTGTTCATGAGGATACAGGCCTAGGCACAGAATGAAAAAAAAATCTCTAGAATGATGAAGTTATGATGAATGTGATGATGTGAGAAACGGGGGGTTTTGTTTGTTATTACTGCACTTCAACAATTAAGGTCTTTATGCGCATAACAAGATAGGTAATTGCACTATTCCAACATTATTTAAAATAATTATGAGATGAAACTCTCCGTGTAGAGGGAAACGTCTCGGTACAGGATAAAGTTTTTAATGAAAAGAATCATCTCTGGCAACGTTCTTAATATAAGTTAATTAATATTTTGATTGAATAGGACATTGAAAAATTCATTAGCATAAAATTAAGATCATGCTAAGGTAAGTCACTCCAGTTTATTTCACCTGGGTGGGGTGGGGAAGGGTTATGTTAGTTTAGGATTCATCATCAGCAATGTTTTATGGCCAATTTTTCTATGCTTGTGTGGGTTTACCATGATTCCTTGATGACAGCTGGTTAAACATAGGGTGAAATAAGCTGGGTGACCTCATCTTCACTTGATTATACAATTTTTAGTGTGTATTATATAGGAACGAGTAAAAAGAATGACAGTATTATCTGGTTGGTTGTAAACTCACCAAACGATTAGAATAACGTATAAAACAAACAAAAAATGGCAGTAACACCTCATTGAAGATAATGTATGTATACTGAGTTAAAATGATAAGTGATAAACAGACAAATGGAAAGACTGATACATAGAATTAACAGATACTATAAAATATAACCAAGTCGTCCTAACACTGACCTTTTTCTCATCACCGACATAATTAGGAAATTCTTTCTTGCTAATATCAGCATAGGCTAAGAGCACCTTGACTATTGTCTTGGCAAATCTCTTCATGAATCTTTTCCAGATCTCGGGGTCTGGACACTCGAGCTTAGAGACAACACCGAAGCACTGAGTCAGCTGAGTGAAGACATCTACCACGGAGTTGGAGAAGAGCGAACTCTCAGAGCTGACTGGGAACTGATGGAAGAAAGAAGGTAATTTGAGTTTATTTCACGTCATACTTAAAAGCATCAAACACTGGTACTATACTTTCCAAGGATTACATGTACATGAAGAATCTATTTTTAATTCTTCATTTACAGTTAAGAAATATATTATAAATTTTGTACTTTATCTAGTTTAGCAGCAGGTTGGAAAATGAAAACAAATCAGAATCTCATCTCTATTTTGGGATCACCGAACAACATAAATAAATAAATACTCATTATAAATAGAAAATCTCACATATGTATTTTAACAGGAATACACATATTACCTTTTAAAAATAACAAAGAAATTACATATTCAATAAAAACAGAAATCCTGACGTAACACATTAGAACAAAACCCGTTGACCAGATAAATTGTGTCGTCACCAGTGGCTTACCTCGTCCTTCTTGTCTCTCTGGAAGGCACCGTTGAGGTACTCGAGCGACACGTCGTCGTTCTCGTTCAGCCACTGCATCACAAACGGCTCGAACCACCTGTAAGGAATGATGACATAAGTATTGGTCTATTATTCAGGGAAACTAATTCAGTGAAAACTCCATATAACAGATTTTATTTCTATATATTTTGTAAGATGGAGGTTTCACATTTAATAGACCCTCGATATACTGGATTTCATTTCTATATAGCTCGTTAGATGGAGGTTTTCCATCTAATAGACCCTCGAGATAACGGACTCCATGTGTAGTCCGTTAAAAAGAGGTCTCACTGTAAATATAAGCTCCTCCCCGACTTACGACCACCCAGACATACGACCGCATCAGTCGTACCAAAATTTTGTCAAATTACGTATTTTCGAGTCCCAACGTCAGTGATTGCGCTGTGTACGGACAAAATTTTTGTTTGTAATTCACTTTAAAATGGCTGGCAAGCTTAAAAGTGAGAGTTTTGTGGTGCTGAGAAGAAAAAGAGACCCATTTTAGATTTTCTATGTATTATTTAAGCATTTTCGACTTACGACCATTTCGACTTATGACCTGGATTTGGGTCCCTAACCCAGTCGTAAGTCAGGGAGCAGCTGTAATCAATGCCCAAAGGAAATCCAAGATTTTTTTTTTTATTACACATCTCATAATTCCACTTTAAACCTAGAGTCAACCAATCAAAGTGCCGCCATTCTCATGTCTAAGGGTTGACAACCACAGTACTCCACTCTGAAGGATATTTATAATACAGGAGTGTCTGCCATAAAGATATTTTTATCCTGATGCACTTATGAAAAACAAATTCATTTAGGTTTTGATTTCAAGTGGATTTCTGCCTGGATCAAAGAGACAGATACTCACGCTGGGTATTCAGGCACTTGGTCTTTGTAGGGAGGCACGTCCTTCACGTAGTTATTGTACAACCACTTCACCTACGGGAGAGAAGAAGATAAGGGGTTCAACACTACTCGTGAAACTGTATCTTATAAACCAATACTTTACAACCTTTATAAAATCTCCCACAATAATACAGGAATGGGACTGTAATCTACTAAGTTCCATTGTCCTGTGAATAAAAAAATACGTACATAAACTTTTCTCAATAAATTTCTTAAGCTTTGTGATTATTGGAAGTTTGGTAAAAGTAAAAGTATGTAAAACTAACCCTTCCTTAAAAATCCTGGATCTTATTTGGGATTCATTTAAAGGATCATACCCCATTATCAGAGACTCTTTTAAGGTAGGTTATATCCATCTACTTACTGTAATACCATATACATCTGAGAGACTTTCATATAATAACACAATCACTTATTAATCGACAAGAACAAAAAATAATACAGTAAACCCTCCCAATACTGGACTAATTCTTGCAAGCGTTGTCCTATATTGGGAGGATTCTGTTAATGAGAATATCCAGTAATGAGAAGTCCATCATTGAGAAGGTTGACTGTATAATTAATCTGGCAAATCAGGCAAATAAATTATTGGGTCTTATAAGAAGGTCGCTCAGATATCTAGACGGCTCGTCCCTCGTAACGATCTTCAAGATTGAAGTGCTTCCCCATCTGGAGTACTGTCACCCCGTCTGGTCCCCGAGATATGCTAGGGACTGTCGGTCGGTTGAAAATGTTCAAAGGAGGGCCACCAGACTGGTGCCTGCACTTCGGCACTTCAGCTACCCTGAGAGATTGGAGCACCTGAACTTGCCTAGCTTATACTACAGACAGGCAAGGGGTGACCTAATTGAGGTGTACAAGCATATCAGGGGGCACTACTCGGACGAGTGTCCTTACTCGGAGCTGGCGGACGCTCGCCCCACAAGGGGTCACAGCTCAAGATTGAAGAAGCTGCAAGTCCAGAAAACTGTGAGGGCAAACTTTTTCGGAGTGAGAGTTGTGAACGGCACTGAGTGTGAACTCTTTCAAGACAAGACTTGACCAACACTGGAGCAGGTTCAGGTACATTCAGGAGCCGGTGCATGCCCAGTATTTGCCAACAGCGCATAACAGAGTCGTGACCGATCGCCCAAGCGGCTAACGAGCCGATCATTTGGTGAAGATGATAAAAGAAAAGGAAAAGTACAATAACCAGAGACGTCACCAAACGCCCAAGCGGCTAACGAGCCGATCAGTGGTGAAGAGGATAAAAGTAAAGTAAAAGTTGATAACACTAATCTGGGTAAAAAGGATGGGTTATATAAAGTGTTGAGACGTTACCTTGAAGTGGAGGTTCATGTACTCGCTGCTCTTACACAGACGATGTTGCTCATGTTCCTCGAGGGCATATTTGATGTCCACGGCAAACATGCTCCACATCGTCGACGCAGAAAGCTGAAATAAAATACTTCACATACACAACTGACAAACATACAAGACAAACTTAACACAGGATAATATAACATTGTCTAGTGAGTTAATAGGTTGTGTGTAGTTCTTCCTCCTGTATTTGGTGATTAGTGAGTACTAGTTAATGTCAGGTCATCATATGTTATTACGGTACAGTCGTTATCTTGAAATAATTATTCCCTTGTTAGAGATATTTGTAATTAACCTTGTAGATGATTAATATGTTATCTGTTCAATTGTTCAATACCTGATATACTGTATTGAATACATCTAAAACACTCACAAATGGACACTTAATAAGTCATAACTCATCTATTCAATAATCCCTATTCTGTGTAACTAGAGCACTTGTGTTTCAAACTTGATGTAGTGGTCAGAGAAGTAGATACAAGTACCCTACACAACATTCACCTAATCATACATCGAGTATTTCCTTTAAATTTTTCATCGTTCAACTTTTTAACCCCTTGTGCACGGGGTCCTCTCTGAGCTGAATAAAGACATTAGCCACGTAAAATATTAAAAGTGGCGTCCCAGTGGTGATGGCGATAAATATTCATAATTACAGTACCTAACACATCAAGAGAGAGCAAGCAAGCACACACGCACACCTGATAGCTCTATGTACCCTCTCACACACACTCGGTATAGCACTCATTACACACCTGTCCAATGCGGTATATCACTCATTACACACCTGTCCAATGTTGAACTCCTGGGGGAACTGGTTGAGGACGGGGGCATAGCTGTTCTTGTCCTCCTCGATGACTGAGACGATGAGGGCAATCAGCTTGTGCCAGAAGTCTACGCTCTCCAGCCGAGGCCCCTGCTCTCCCCCCTCCTTCTTCTCAGATGGGTCCACCTAAGACAACACAGAAGCATCAGTTTGTGTCTTGGGAAGTCAATGGGTAATGCAGAGTGTGTGTGTGTGTGTGTGTGTAGAGGAACTACTTCTCTATGCAAGTTCCCTCCTATAGTCTATTTTATATTCATTATATTGACTTAGGTTACATCATTACCATGCTATCTCATCACCATCTCGTGTTTAACCCTTACAGCTGCCACTACCACACCTAATAAATTCACCTTTTATGATATTTCTCAGATAAAGACAAAAGGAATAATAAACATCAAGAAGCTAATGGAATAAATATATCTGGGAAAAGCTTATCATCTCATTACTGGAACATATATTGGTAGATAGAACTTTTATCTTATTAGTAAATGGTATAGTAACATGTTGTAAAATTGGTTTCTAACTAATACTTGATGCAATGAGTTTTTGTTTTTCTGAGCCAAATTCACAACTATTACCTTCATGTGTCCTGACATTTATATCACTACTATGAATATCTGCAATAACAAAAACATTTACTTGTCATCAACAAATTATAGAAATTCCTTTAAAATGATGATACTACATTGAGTATAAATTTTGAAGTAATTATAATGAACTAGTAAATTATACCTGAAACAGCTTTGTCATTATTCTTGTTCTTACACATGCAGTGCCTCATGTTCTTACCCGGAGTACCTCATGTTCTTACCTGCAGTGCCTCGTGTTCTTACCTGGAGTACCTCATGTTCTTACCTGGAGTACCTCATGTTCTTACCTGGAGTACCTCATACTGTTACCTGGAGTACCTCATACTGTCACCTGGAATACCTCATGTTCTCTGCACAGCCACAACAAAGACAATGATCTACACTACCTGAAACTCTCTATTGTAAAGCTCGTAGCAGTTCTCAAAGAGGAACTGGTAGGTAGACTTGAGGCAGGCGATAGCACAGTCTTTCACGACAACACTGGCTCGTGGTGGTGATGACAGCTCTTGTACCTGTGGAAGCCCAAGACAACTAGAGTCACACAGAATCCTGATACACATCATTTGAGGGACTTAGGGAGGGAGAGAGGGAGAGAAGGAGAGAGGAAGGAAGGAAGGAAGAAAAGTTGATCTGGTTACTAAAATCATTCTTTCACTCAATTGGATTACATATTTCATTCCCTCCTTGGCAAAAGAAAAAAAAGATAAATCAGACATATAAAGTGACAGCAAGAACCAAACAAGATAATCACTACAGCAAATGGTCTTACTTTCATCCTGAAGAAGGTGATAGAGGTGAGGAGGTCGACAGTGGATTTGAGATCTTGGAGCTTCTCATTGGAGCTGGCTGGGAAATTATTGCGGTACATGGACAGGTCAATCCGCAGCGAGTTGTGTAGTTGGTCGAGCAGCTTAACAAACTTCTCTTTCTGTGGTGAACAAGATATGATTAGATGAGTGAGTGAGTGAGTGAGTGAGTGGATGGATGAATAAGTGAGTAAGTGATATCTTTATCATATATAAACACATACTACTACTACAAATAATAATTAAAAAATATCCTCTGAAATTTTCTGTCTGTCCCACTTTTTATGAACAAATAATTATGTAATGTGTATAGAAAAGAAGTGAAAATGTCCTGTAATTTCTCCACTTTATATTTCTATATTCAGATGAAATTCTTATGCTAAATATATTCTCCTTCAAACAATGGTATTATTTTAGTTATGTAAAATCATTTGGGGATTTTGTCATTTCCAATATATAGATTTAATAATTCTATGACTGTTTTCTTCTATGACATTTACCTCGTAGATGTCAAATAACAGAGATATTGGATGTGTTTTATTCTCTTGTTAATATCATACTAGTATACAGGAACACCTGTCACCTGCTCACTTTCTTAACAACTGACCAACTCTACCTGAACGTACTCTCACGTCGACAAAATACGTAAAATTACACCATGACTCTTTAATAAAGTTGCTTTCATTGGTACTAGTTATCAAAATAAGTACTTTCTGTTTAATATGGCAGAGGGTTAGCCCCCCCATCTAGGAAGTTAGGTAAGGTTAGATAGCTTTCTTTGGTTGCTTAGGTCAGGTTCTATTAGGTTCATTATTATTCACTTGTGACTGAAGTGTATAGAATGAAAGTTATACTCAAAATGATGAGACATCTATTGCGTGTGTTAAAAATCCCAGATTCCATGATTGTACCAAACTAAAATTTTACCCAAACAATATCAGATTTCATATTTTTATCCATACTGATTTAAACTACATTGACATACATTATAATCATACATACATTAATTTTTCTGTTACTTTCATCATTTATATTGATTTTTTCTTTTGGGTAATGAAGGTTCTTACTCACCCCAAAGTTAGAGGCTGCAAATCTATCAGAGGCAGAAACAGCGGAAGAGGCCGTAGTGTGGGCGTAGAAGGCATTAATGTTGGCTAGCAGCGTGGACATGACCGCCGGCACTCCTGGACACAAGTACTTGGTCGACAGGCAGTGGAAGTGACTGTGTGGGGACAAGGAGGTAAACATTGTGGATGGAGGAGAGAGAATCGTGACATAGCAAAGGACATCATGAACGGTAAATGAAAGTGATATTGTGGAAGAGTAAATGATAAATGAGACAAATAAAGAACCGTGGAAGAATGTGAAGATATTTTGGGCATTAAAGTGGGGAAAAATGGAAGCACAAAGGAAAGTGTTTAAATACTGTTAATTATCATCTAAATTATGTTCCACGAGAGTGACAATTACCTGTACACAGACACGCCTCTTCATTTACAGGTATCTATCACTTTAATGTTTTCAAGATATGTTTAATCAGCTTGTTTATATGTGAGGGATGGTTATAATAAGGTATAACTGGACAGGTAAAGGACACAAATTATATAAAACATAACTTCACCAACACTTCACTATAATCTTCATAAGTGATACTGACAATTGTGTGGAACATCATAACTTCCTGTGACATTTATTTATCATATAACTGGTGATGGAGCTTAGGACTTTTATAAATTATGTCTCAGCTAATATAGATATAGTATAAATAAATTAATATCACACAAAATGATTTCTAGTAGAGGGACAGTAAGAATACTTTCAGAGATCTATCAGTCCCTAGACACGGGATTTAGAGCATGAAAAAGTCTACGGTCGCAGCCAGCCACGTTTCACTTACTCGCGTTAAAAATTCATATACAGTGTAATGTATTATAAATCTAAGGTATCTCTCTGACCTGTAAACCTCAGCCCACAGATACTCACGTCATGGCCTGGTATATGCTCTCGATGCCGTATCTCATGGCAAACTCATCGACGATATCCTGCGCGTGGTCGTCAAAATAGACTTTCCAGGCATCGTCGCCCTTGGCTTGTGGAAGCTTGACAGCACCGCCATCCACTTCACAGAGGTAGTGGAAGAGGTTCTCGTGCAGGCAAGTGTATTGTACGTGGTAAGGCGCAACCTTCTCCTCGCCCTTGATTTCAACCGAGATGTGTAATCTAATGGCACCCGACACTGCTGATTTGTCTGTGCGTTTTTCCAGGTTGTACCACACGTCCATCTCGCCTGACAGAGTTCGGACCTACAATGGGATGAAGAAGATATAGTGAGCATCATACACAGTCAACAAGAGTAATTTGACCAGACATAGACTTATAATACAGGTTTGACCCGAGTACGAGTGAGAGGTGTGGTAGTGACCTCAGAACCAGTACAAGGTGTGGTAGTGACCTCAGAATCAGTGTGAGGTGTGGTAGTGACCTCAGAATCAGTGTGAGGTGTGGTAGTGACCTCAGAATCAGTGTGAGGTGTGGTAGTGACCTCAGAATCAGTGTGAGGTGAGGTAGTGACCTCAGAATCAGTGTGAGGTGTGGTAGTGACCTCAGAATCAGTGTGAGGTGTGGTAGTGACCCCAGAACCAGTGTGAGGTGTGGTAGTGACCTCAGAACCAGTGTGAGGTGTGGTAGTGACCTCAGAACCAGTGTGAGGTGTGGTAGTGACCTCAGAATCAGTGTGAGGTGTGGTAGTGACCTCAGAATCAGTGTGAGGTGTGGTAGTGACCTCAGAATCAGTGTGAGGTGTGGTAGTGACCTCAGAATCATTATGAGGTGTGGTAGTGACCTTAAAACCAGTATGAGGTGTGGTGGTGACCTTAAAACCAGTATGAGGTGTGGTAGTGACCTCAGAAACAGTATGAGGTGTGGTGGTGACCTTAAGACCAGTATGAGGTGTGGTAGTGACCTCAGAATCAGTATGAGGTGTGGTAGTGTCCTTAAAGCCAGTATGAGGTGTGGTGTTGACCTTAAAACCAGTATGAGGTGTGGTGGTGACCTTAAACCAGTATGAGGTGTGGTAGCCTAAAACCAGTATGAGGTGTGGTGGTGACCTTAAAACCAGTATGAGGTGTGGTAGTCAGAATCAGTATGAGTAGTGTCCTTAAAGCCCTTAAAACCAGTATGAGACCTTAAAACCAGTATGAGGTGTGGTGGTGACCTTAAGACCAGTATGAGGTGTGGTAGTGTCCTTAAAACCAGTATGAGGTGTGGTGGTGACCTTAAAACCAGTATGAGGTGTGGTAGTGTCCTTAGAACCAGTATGAGGTGTGGTAGTGTCCTTAAAACCAGTATGAGGTGTGGTGGTGACCTTAAAACCAATATGAGGTGTGGTGTTGACCTTAAAACCAGTATGAGTGTGGTGGGGACCTTAAAACCAGTATGAGTGTGGTGGTGACCTTAAAACCAATATGAGGTGTGGTGGTGACCTTAAAACCAATATGAGGTGTGGTGTTGACCTTAAAACCAGTATGAGGTGTGGTGGTGACCTTAAAACCAGTATGAGGTGTGGTAGTGTCCTTAGAACCAGTATGAGGTGTGGTAGTGTCCTTAAAACCAGTATGAGGTGTGGTGGTGACCTTAAAACCAGTATGAGGTGTGGTGTTGACCTTAAGACCAGTATGAAGTGTGGTGGTGACCTTAAAACCAGTATGAGGTGTGGTAGTGACCTCAGAATCAGTATGAGGTGTGGTAGTGTCCTTAAAACCAGTATGAGGTGTGGTAGTGTCCTTAAAACCAGTATGAGGTGTGGTAGAGACCTTAGAACCAGTATGAGGTGTGGTAGAGACCTCAGAACCAGTATGAGGTGTGGTAGTGACCTCAGAATCAGTATGAAATGTGGTAGTGTCCTTAAAACCAGTATGAGGTGTGGTAGTGACCTCAGAATCAGTATGAGGTGTGGTAGTGTCCTTAAAGCCAGTATGAGGTGTGGTAGTGACCTTAAAACCAATATGAGGTGTGGTGGTGACCTTAAAACCAGTATGAGGTGTGGTAGTGACCTTAAAACCAGTATGAGGTGTGGTAGTGACCTTAAAACCAGTATGAGGTGTGGTAGTGACCTTAAAACCAGTATGAGGTGTGGTAGTGACCTTAAAACCAGTATGAGGTGTGGTAGTGTCCTTAAAACCAATATGAGGTGTGGTAGTGACCTTAAAACCAGTATGAGGTGTGGTAGTGTCCTTAAAACCAATATGAGGTGTGGTAGTGACCTTAAAACCAGTATGAGCCATGGAACAGTGCCTACAGACATGCTCTCCTGCTCACTAAGTCTCCTGCTTACACAAAACTGGGAAACTTTGACCAAACTTTCAACAAACTTTGACCAAACTTTTTCCTGTAATGATCTGGGCGTGGTAATTGTTCCAAGCGATGTGCACCAAACTTATGTTAACTTTGGGACAGTCGTATAGGACGGACACACACACATGCAGTGGGTTAATGTTTGCCAATGGTTATATGATCTGCCTTTGTGTATTTTCGTGTAGTTAATGATTTGAGGATAAAATAATACCTGTCCAGTAAACCCTCTCAATAAAGGACTTGCAAGAATTAGTCCGGTATTGGGAGGGTTTATTGTATGCAGTTTATCATACGAAATAGGGACCATTTTCTGATTAAACCTTAAATTCTAACTACAGTGAAACCTCTATTTAACGAACTATATGGAGAGGAAAGTCCACTATATCAAGGGTCTGTTAGATGTGAAACCCTCATATAATAGATTACACGGAGAGACAAGTTCGTTATATGGAGGTTTCACTGCTTTTATCAAATTGGAATAACATTATTTTTATTGATGTAACTTTATGTAAATTAAATCATATGTGGTAAAATTTGCTTTGTTTCATTTTAGACTATTTTATTTTTTTATTCACAACCACAATGAAGTATAAATAAATCATACTTAAATTAGGTTAGTTTGGTTTAATAATTAATAGTAATGACGTTCTTTGCGTAATGTTTACCGATATATTCATCTTAATATACAGGTTAAATTCAGTCTTTAAAAAAATATAGTGAGTATAATTATTTACTCTACCATATATAATTATGGAGATTAATTAATAAATGCTAAATTAAATGATCATACGCATCTATAATTCAACTTCTATACACACGTACTTTTATATATTAAATATTAACCCTAAGTCAGAATGAAACAGACTGAAATAAGCACAAAGACCTTAAATGAAATAGAGTAAAAGACCTTCTGCTGGGAGAAACTTATACTATATTCTTTAACTTTGAAATTTATACGACTGTAGGTACCATTAGGGAGTCACATCCTAACAACTCAATTTAACATGTACAGTATATGGTTCATTATATACACGAGGTACTGTGAACTGAGTATGGTGGGTGTATTAAGTTGAGACTATGAGTGTAAATATTTCTTAAGAGAGTTAGTTAGCTAGGCTGTTTGTGATTGGTTAAGAGTTCGTGTTATTTCTAGTGATCGTCAGTAAGGCTGTTTGTGATTGGTTAAGAGTTCGTGTTATTTCTAGTGATCGTCAGTAAGGTTGTTTGTGATTGGTTAAGAGTTCGTGTTATTTCTAGTGATCGTCAGTAAGGTTGTTTGTGATTGGTTAAGAGTTCGTGTTATTTCTAGTGATCGTCAGTAAGGCTGTTTGTGATTGGTTAAAGTCCATGATGTTATGAGGTTTTTTTAAAGAATTGGTCGTGGTTATATTCGTGTTTCTAAATGAGAGAAAACAGCATTAGCCAATTATATATAACTTAATTATTCTATGATTGATTCAATTAGGTAAGGTTATTCGGATTAGGTTGATTAGTTAGCTGATTAGTTAATTGGTTAGTCATTAAGTACAGTATTACCAAATAATCCAATCTCTCAGCTAAGAAAAAGTACAGTACAACCAAATCTTGGAATGTGGAAGGCTTGTAATTTATGTCTTATGGCTGAAAGAAAGCAATTGAGGGTTTCTATTTACGATATGTCCCCGTTCCGCTATCCAATTATGATACCAGATTGCAGGCACCAGTAAATAAATCCCCAAATAAGAAATGTGTTTTATTTTACATGGAAATGATATCTGGCGTTAGGGGGATTACATTCATCCTGTGTGTTGGCCTTGATAGTGTGTGTGTGTGTGTGTGTGTGTGTGTGTGTGTGTGTGTGTGTGTGTGTGTGGGTGTAGCAGCAAGATTTTATACATTGTACTGATATTATTATTATTGTCATCATTTTTATTAGTTATTATTATTATTATTATCATCATCGTTATTTTAAGAGTAAGATAAATGCATTAACGACACAGTAATTATTTCGGTGCTTCTGTAATTAGTGAAACCAATAACCATACGGAATTATTAACACTTTGTCCTCTTAGCCACGAATCACCTTGTTAGAGCGGAAAATAGTTTGCTATTATAATTGAAAAAAGACTTGTAGATAGGAGTCGACAGCGCCAGGCATTACATCCGCCCTACAGTAATACACTTTCAAGGATGATAGAATAATGTTCACCCGCCTTTTGGCATCATCAGCAGTCTCTCTCTCTCTCCACTCACAAGTTCCCCTGAAGTTCTCGAAGAAAAATGTGATGAATGAAAGTCTTCCTCACTATTTCCTAATTGGGTGTAAATTATCTAAAGTTATCCTTCCAATTTGTGAAAACTTGTTCCCAATTAGTGGATAGAGGCGAGATTACTCTGTGTGTGTGTGTGTGTGTGTGTGTGTGTCTGTGTGTGTTCCATCAAACGTAAACAGGCATCTTTACCACATAATTAAACTTAAAAAAAAAATAAAATAAAATTGTGACGTGGAAATACAAAATAAATAATTTTCATCACGTAAGAGCAAAAATCTCTATACCTACCCCATGTTCCTACGTTCCTACCTCCCATAACACCCTCCCTACCTCACTAATGAATTCCTTTTATCCACAACTTCACTATTCTCGGAAATATAGATGGATTATAGATCTATCCTCAATAATCCAACTTGAAGCAAAAAAAAATAAAAAAAACGTCTAGTAATTTCTACGTCATCCCGGATACTTTCTTAATCAACAAACGGCACAAAAGTTGATCAGAAACCCGTCACTGTCAACACAACCTCCCCAATCCTTTGTCAACAACTGAAGGTTATAATGAAATGGTGTGTATTGTGAGATATTGTAGTGGTTGTAATGTGGAGGGGAAGACACTGTGGTAGGGGAGTTTAGACAGACAGACAGACAGACAGACAGACACATGTACACACACAAATAAACACATATACTGTACACACAAAGAGAGAGAGAGACACACACACACAGATATACACACACACACACACTACCAAGCAGATATAATCATTCTATAATTCGCCAGTTAACCCCACATAGTCGATCTGAACAACAAATTATAAGCTTTTGAAATCAATTATATGATTATCCGCCAATTATCACAAAAGGCTATGTTTAAGCTTAACTAAAAATAAGCTTAAAACATGGCCCTCTCATTCCCTCTCTCCCTTCTGTAACTCTCCTCTCATTCCCTCTCTCCCTTCTGTAATTCTCCTCTCACTCACTATTTCAATCCTCCCTCTCTCTTCTTCTCCTCCTTCCTTCCTCCTTTTCTCTTTCCTTCCCCCTCCTGCCTCCCTTTTCCATCTACACACTCCCTCTTTCCCTCCTCCTTCCAAACCTTCATTCTTTCCCTCCTCCTTCCAAACCTTCTTTCTTTCCCTCCTCCTCTGCCCTCTCACCATCAACACACACACACACACACACACACACACACACACACACACACACACATATATATATCAACAAACTCTACGAAAAACGCATAAAAAGGACTTAACATTCAGGCGGCACAGCGGAGAATCAGTACAGTGCTACTTTATAGGTCAGGGAGTGCCAGTGCCAACCTACGACGGCCTAGAGAGTGCCTGTTTTTTTTCTAACCCAGCCCCAAAAGATCACAGTGCCAGTGAAAAAATGGCAATTGTTTTGTATTGTGTCATTTTCGTTGTTTAGCAGTGCGTGGGGGGGGATACCAGCGCCATATTTGTTTTGATTTCTCTTGTGTTGTTTTCGTTGTTTAGCAGTGAGTCTTCCAGAGAGAGCAATCATCCTCAATTACCTTATCTAGTTATAACACCTCTCTATAACTTCCCATCAACGTGAGAAATAAAAAATAATGATAATGAAAGAGAATAGGGGGACGTAGGGAGGATTAAAAACAAAGGAGAAACGGAGTAGATAATATTAGATCCCACAATCGTTTCCAATTAATAAAACAATAGATTCCAATCCTCAATAAAGTATAATGGAAAAGGGATTGGAATTAACGTATTCTATGATGACGATCTCTATGATAAGATGTTTAAGGGGTGACTCAAATTCTCACATAAATACACATTAATGAGATGGAGTCTATATTCTGTATATAACGACCTACAATTCCCTCCATCTATATAATACAAGTTCTTCCTTCTACAGTATTAAATAATATTATATCCTCCATCTATATAACTCAATTGCTCCATCCCGCCACCTTCTCCAGCTATATCAATAACAACTCCACCACACCACCATCTCGACCCCTCCATCTATATCAATAACCACTCCATCCCACCGCCCTTTGCTCCTCCATCTAGACAAGGCGAGATCCTGATAGCACAAGAGAAAGCAATAAACACAGACCAGACCCACGGGAGGAGGAGGAGGAGGAGGAAGAGAGGCAGGAGGAGGAGAGGCAGGGGGAAGTTTTTTGAGGAGGTGTATGAGGGAGTGGGTGAGCAGGAGAGGGCGTCAGAGAAGGAGGGGTGGGAAGAAGGGGGTGGAGGAGGAGGAGAGGGAAGGGAGTCAGAGTCAGAGAAGGGGCATCGTAGAGGGAGGAAAAGGAGGAGGTGGGGGAGGGTGTCGGAGGAGGAGGAGGAGGAGGAGGAAGAGGAAGAAGGGAGGGTCGGCGGTCTTCCTGCTGTAAAATTCAACAAGGCCATCATCACATGGACCCCGTTTGTAAGGATCCTCTTCTCCTACACCTCAGGGGCTTCACCGCTCAATAGGACCTGTTGCTGGGGGCACGGTGGAATAGGATACTAAGAGGTAAGGTAGGATACTAGGAGGTGGGATAGGATACTAGGAGGTGAGGTAGGATTCTTGTAGGAGGTGAGGTAGGATTCTTGGAGAAGGTGGGATAGGATTCTAATAGGAGGTGAGGTAGGATTCTAAAAAGGCTTAAAAACGTGGGATAGGAATCTTGTACTAAACTTCTCAAGACTGGGGCCCATTAGAACTGGAACTCTTGAGACTGGGGCCTATCTGACCAACCTGGGGCCCACATAACAAGGGCCCTACGAACCTCTAGGGGGCCTCTCGACTCTCGCTCCCAGAAACACTTGTTGTAAGGTACCCTTGTGAACATTAACATATAAATCACTGCCCCCGTGTTTATACCAGCGTGACGTGGCCTGAGAGAGAGAGAGAGAGAGAGAGAGAGAGAGAGAGAGAGAGAGAGAGAGAGAGAGAGAGAGAAACCACTTGGCTATCAACCACTTAAAGAGTTCATTTCCTATCTATCTATCACCATACACACGATATAAAGCGACTCACAGCGCAAATACTAATTCACAACTCTTAATAACATGTCACAATGTATCCCAGGCTACGTCGTCACAAGTTCATTCCCCAAAGCCGACAAAAATAAATCATTTATGAATTCTATTAATTATTTCCCGTTCTCTGTGGAGTGTATGTAGGGGAGACTGACTTATTTTACCCACCCAGATGGTGTTGTGTCACTGTTCTATTGTAAGTTATCTGAAAATTACTATTAATTAAGTTGTATGTTCAAATAATCAAAAATAGTGTTTGTGTTATGATAGGGAATGATATATAAGTTTCCCATGAATTGTTGGAATGGGAGGAATATAGAAAATGGGAATTTAGTTATACAGAAAAAAGGAATTCGGAACACAAAAATGGGAATCAGGAAAACAGAAAATGGGAAGAGAGAACCACAGAAAACGGAGATATAGAACCACAGAAAACAGAGATATAGAACCACAGAAAACGGAGATATAAAACCACAGAAAACGGGACAAAAAAACACCATCATCCAACCTTACCTCAATAATAGTCTGCCCCAAGAAGTCATCACTCTCCCTCGTGAGTTTTTGGCGCAGTTTGGACTTGATGTCGTTGTCCTCATCCCAGACCCTCACCTTAATCCTGTCACTAGAGTTGTGGCATTCACTGTTGACGAAATAAATAACATGGTGAGAAAGTGATTGGTAAGGATAATGATTATGATGAGTTAAGTGAATTAAAATATTGCTTCATTGAATAATAATAATAATAATAATAATAATAATAATAAAAGTATGATGATGACAATAACAATACTAATTAGGCAGCAACAACAACTACTACTACTACTACTACTACTACTACTACTACTACTACTACTACTACTACTACTACTACTACTACGAATAATAATAATAGTAGTAGTAATATAGATGATGATAATAGTAAATAATAATAAAAACAAAAACTATAATAAGAATAATAAGACAAAAACATCAATAAATCATAATAATAATAATAATAATGACAACAAAGAATAATGATAATAATACTAATAAACTGTCATTAATAGGACATAGTCATTAACAATCACCGTGCCTCAAAGATGTCCATTAAAATAAAAAGCAAAGAGTAATTAATGAAGATAAGGAGACATGGATAATGAGAGAGAGAGAGAGAGAGAGATAACAAATTAAACTTAAATATTATTACTGCTATTATTATTAGTATTCTCATCATTATTATTATTATCATTATTATTATTCCCATTCTCTATTTCAAGCACAAACTCGTGTAAAAATCATTGACCCGAACGCGCGCCCCTCGACCCGACATTTCTGGTTAAATCAAAGACCTTGAGAAGTCGTTCGGCCTTCCTGAAGGGGTGAAGTTAGGGCCGGCAAATTGGAGTTCAGGTCCTCGAGGTTAAGATGATGGGCGTGCTGAAGGGCTCCCCTGAAGGCCCTGAAGAATGGGGGGGGGCGATAAGGGCCCAAGGAGGAGTGGTTGATTGTTTTTCACGTAAGTTACTGCTGGAGTATTGGGGATTGTATTCTTTGAGAGAGATTGGAGGGAAGTTTACAAATCACCACTAAATTATACGTCTTTTATCTAGACTCCAATTCTCAAAGGATCGTAAGGTCAATATTTTTCTATCTGATCACTTTTCAAGTCCCACTGAATCCTTATCTAAATATATAAACAAAAACAACTTCAGTACTCACAAACAAAACAGCTTTAGTACTCAAACCGTACAGCTTCAGTACTCACACAAAACAGTTTCAGTACTCACAAACAAAAGAGCTTCAGTACTCATAAATAAACTCTAATACTCACAAATAATCTCCAGTACTCATAAATAAACTCCAGTACTCACAAATGTACTCCAGTACTCACAAACCAACTCCAGTACTCAACCAAACAGCTTCAATACTCACAAGTAAAATTTCTCATTCCATACAGGGTTGAGCTCTTGCGGGACGGTGTGCGTTCTCTTCTTCACCTTGCCCACTTGGACGGTAACGTAGGGGTCAGAGGTGCCACTTTTGTCCTTAGCTATGAGGCCTTGGGCGCAGATCACTGTACGGGGGAAGAGAGGCAAGGCGAGGCGTCACACAGGGTGGTAATCTCATTCCAATTCTTGATTTTGTTCCCTCGATGTTATTGTTTCTTGGATTTCATTTTTTTGGGGGGGTGGGTATGTAAATGAGTTTATATATAATCAGGGTTAATTAATATTTCTGGAAGGTATATAATTTGATTTGTTTTTAAATAGATTATATTGGCTGATTATTTCTTAAGGGCATCCACAAGACTATTTTAAAAAGTGTTCAAAGTTCGTGTTTATTTACTCAACTGATTCCAATACAAGTCTTTTAAAAAACACTTAGGGTTACTTAATACCTCAATAAAAGATCTCCAATAACAAAAATTTCATACACATTATTGATGGCCAAAAAAAATAAAAAAATCTCAAATTACAAACTGATTTAATTAACATATCTCTGTAGGGCAAAAATATTCCTCTAAGGATAATTAATTACTTATAACTGATCAACCTAAGTAGGATAATTAATTAGTTATCATTCTCATTATCATTCAGCGTTGTAAAGTGATAATCAGGGAGTATAATTAGATAACCATGCCAACCACTCTGTTGTAACGAGCCTTAAGAAGCGCACACTGGAGTGATCATTGCTGGTGGTGGCGGGACACATGACACACCATATTATTAACGCATGTGTCCTATTAATGCATGTGTCCTATTAATGCATGTGTCCTGTTAACGCATGTGTCCTATTAATGCATGTGTCCTGTTAATGCATGTGTCCTATTAATGCATGTGTCCTATTAATGCATGTGTCCTGTTAATGCATGTGTCCTGTTAACGCATGTGTCCTGTTAATGCATGTGTCCTGTTAATGCATGTGTCCTGTTAATGCATGTGTCCTGTTAATGCATGTGTCCTATTAATGCATGTGTCCTATTAATGCATGTGTCCTGTTAATGCATGTGTCCTGTTAATGCATGTGTCCTGTTAATGCATGTGTCCTGTTAATGCATGTGTCCTGTTAATGCATGTGTCCTGTTAATGCATGTGTCCTATTAATGCATGTGTCCTATTAATGCATGTGTCCTATTAATGCATGTGTCCTATTAATGCACGTGTCCTATTTTGCATGTGTGTTATTAATGCATGTGTCCTATTAATGCATGTGTCCTATTAATGCATGTATCCTATTAATGCACGTGTCCTATTAATGCATGTGTCCTATTAATGCATATGTGTCCCAGTATGTCCTCACCCCAAAGACACATACATGATGGTTGGTTGACCTGTGTTGTGAGGGGGACACTGAGATGGGCCAAGTGTCCTATTGGGAATATGAAGGCAGCAAAGGTTTTATTTTTTCAGTTTGTGTTGTGTTTAAGCTTAAAACATTGTAGTTGTGTTGTGTTGTAAGCTTAAAACATTGCAGTTGTGTTGTGTTGTAAGCTTAAAACATTGTAGTTTGTGTTGTGTTGTAAGCGTAAAACATTGTAGTTGTGTTGTGTTGTAAGCTTAAAACATTGTAGTTGTGTTGTAAGGTTAAAACATTGTAGTTGTGTTGTGTTGTAAGCTTAAAACATTGTAGTTTGTGTTGTGTTGTAAGCGTAAAACATTGTAGTTGTGTTGTGTTGTAAGCTTAAAACATTGTAGTTGTGTTGTAAGCTTAAAACATTGTAGTTGTGATGTAAGGTTAAAACATTGTAGTTGTGTTGTAAGCTTAAAACATTGTAGTTGTGTTGTAAGCTTAAAACAGTGTAGTTGTGTTTGAGCTTAAAACATTGTAGTTGTGTTGTAAGCTTAAAATATTGTAGCTGTGTTGTGTTGTAAGCTTAAAACATTATAATGGTGTTGTGTCATAAGCTAAACACATTGTAATATAGTAGTGTTGTGTCGTAAGCTTAAATCATCATAGTAAGTGTCATAAGCTCAAAACACTTTAATAATAATAGTAATAATAATATATAGCATTGATTCATATAAGCTCACAAAACAAAAACTATTTCTGTGTTTCATATTCCTCACAACACAGGTACCAGGTCCTTAGATCACGACACTGGTTGAATAATATGCGTGCATGTTGGAGGAAGGATAAACTCGGCATCAACTGTTACTGTTATATACAAGACCAGAAGTCAGAGGGGGAAAAAAATATACAAGATAAGTGATAAAAAAAATGGCTGATGTCTCGTATACCATTTTTTATTATATATATATTTTTTAAAGTCCAGGTTCTTAGGACTCTGTGCAAGTCTTAGAATAGGGACAGTCCGGGGCAAGAAGAAGCTATGTATTATATATATTTTATATATATATATATATTCCCCCGGGAAGGCTGGTAATCTGGAGTCACTGTGTGTGTTTGTCAACCTTATTGATGACCAAATGTCCCTTTCTGGTCACCACTCTCGGTTTAAACTAATCTGGAGAAGGGGAGTTAGTTATAAGCTGTTTAGAGGGGGGGAGGGGGTATATAGAGAGAGGGGGGTGATCTAGGTGGCACTGGGGGTGGTGGAGGGGTGAAGGGGGTTTAAAGAAGGGCACTGTGGGGTGACGAGTGGCACGGAGGGGGGGTCGGAGGGGGTTTGTCAGCCGATAAGATCCTGGCCCGATGTGGCACTACACTTGTGGTAGAGTTGGAAGGTGACCTGACCCTACCCGCCAGCTGACCTGACCTGACCCTATATTAGGTTACAGGTCAAAACTAGGTCAATGGTTCTATTCTATACTGGGTGCGTTAAGACTGAGGGGGTTCATTCAAGGAGAGTTCGAATCCTTCCCATTAATGAACCAATTAGGGGGGGAGGGAGGTGGGAAGGAGGGGGGGAGAAGGGGGGGGAAGAAAGGGGGAGGGGGGAGGGAGGGAGAGGTCTTTGTCATCCTCGTCACCAAACTTGTGCACATTATCATACAGTAAAATAATAAAGAGATATAACTCATCATGCATCTCTTTATTTCCGGGTCTAGATAATAGATACGGGTCGTAATCAAGTGACTAGTGTTCATCCATCCTAGATCAAGTCATGTGAGTACCTAGAGTCACTTAACTAATGAATCTTACTTATTAAATTACTTCATGTATGAGTTTTGATGTTTTGAAATTGATTTAAATATTTTTTTGCCGTGTGTTTTATTGGTGAATGAGATTTATGGTATGTGGGAAGTGCATCAATATTGACGTAAGAACCATGATGTGATTGATTGAGTTCTCTAACCACGCCGTGATTGGTTGAGTTTCTCTTAACCAATCATCAGGTTTGACGTCACTGTTTAACTGATGACGTATCCACCTACGGTCTAATCTCGGAGCCAATCAACACACAGCCTTTCCTCTCTCTCTCTACATTACAGGTCACACTGCTTACAATTCCAGATAAGTTCCCACGAAATATCGCCTTTTATCATGAATGCAGAATAATGAGCGATATCTAGAGGGAAGAACCTTGAACTGTAAGGTAAGGACCGCGTGTCTACTCCCTGTAAGGCCACAACAAGCACTAAAACAGCACCAACAGCACTTCCCTATACGAGCACGGGCCCCACCTAGCCCCCCTGACCTCGGCTCTACGTAAACTATACCTCCTTGGGTTTACATGTTTACTCTCTACCAACTCCTAGAGGATTAACTCATCACCAACAGTACTCTAGGGTAAACTAGGATGGATATCTATTGTCTAGACCGGTGTGTGTGTGTGTGTTTGTGTATACCAGTAACTCGTTCCTCCATGAAGTTAACATGCTATCATGCTTCGTAATAATCAAATATGCTACGTAGAAGCCCATCATTTAGCATTATAAGTATTTTAACATCATAATCTTCAATAATTTCACTTTACTGTTAGTTATTACAAGTTGCCCCTTCAAAAAGAAACAAAAGCAAATTTAACAAGAGCCGGAAGGCGATAAAAAAATTCCGACCTAACTCTATGGAAAAAAAATTTAAACTGAATTTTTATTTAGTTCTTCAAAAAAATTTAGTCGTACCAAAAAAATAATTGTTTATCTCGAGGTTAAATTTAACGATATACGACTTTGGTGTTAATATTTTAGTTTTTTTGGGGGAGGTTAATTTATGTTAAAATCAGGCAGGTTAACTTCATGATAAATTAACTGGGGCAAAATACCTGCAAACGTGCCCAAATATGGACCATCCCGGTAACTATGGGTACTTTAGGCACCTGTGTCATGCCCTACCCTACTGATCCCCCCCCTCACCATGCCCAGGTAAGGGTATGGTGAGTATTCTAGCTGGGGGTCGGGCATAGAGGGGCATTCCGGGAGCATTAGACCACGGGGTATAAAAAAAATACGTGGTCACTCCAAGTATGTTTTAACACGACAAGGTTTCTAAAGGTATATCATGTTACTGAAAGAATCACTTAGAAACATGATGGAGTGATTAGTAGCATGTTGACGTGTTCTAGTCTAACTTTAAGGCAATTTAAAGTATGCTAAATATGCCTTAAAGTATCCTCGAATCACCTTCAATATGCTAGAATCATGCGGATATGCCAAGCGTCAATGCCATTCTATTAGGTAATCAAGAGGCTCAATGACCGATATTTAATGAGTCAATTTAAACTATTAAAGACCCTCCTGTTAAGACCCTCACGGTGAGAGGTCATCAACAGGGACCAATAAAGAGGTAGAATCAGTGAGAATCAGGGGATCAGTTCAGGCAAGTGATCATCAGGGCGGGAAGGTGGGGAAGGGGAGAAAAATAGAATCAAAATAACAAGTTAGTACGAGTCAGTCGGATGCTACTATAAGTGGTGCCGCCTGGTGGACAGTCGTACTACTAGAGGTGCTGCCGCCTGGTGGACAGTAGAGGAAGTGGTAGTAGAGACTGTCTGCCGCCATGGCGTAGTTGCACTGGTATAGGTGGTGGTGGTGGGTGGATACAGGGAGGGTGGAAGTAGGTGGAGGAGCCAGAGAGCAAAAAAACAAACACAAGCCGCAAGTGGTGGAGCACACACGTTAGGGTGGAGGGCACCCCGCCACCTCCATACTTCCATCCTCCATGCTATGTACATGTTTTGCCTGACCTGTAGTTGCAATCTTGCAAGACCAATGGGAGGTCCCCTCTAAAACGTTATCCTCAGCTTTCTCAAGTGAATCTATATGGGTATCGGGATCCACCTTGAATGTCATCCTGTGGAAGAAGCACATTCAACATGGGTTAACAACAACAACAACAACAACAACGATGGCACAACATCACTTGACACACGTAACTGAACCAAAAAACAAAAACAGTGAAACAAGGACACCGACAATAAAGCGTCTCTGCTCACAACAGCTCTCGTAGAACGGCGGTTATCCTGTGAAGACTTAACCACACGAGCAAGTCATCCAACCATACTGGGCCAAGTAGTTAAGTTTCCCCTTAACAGCCGTCATGGTGGGGCAGTTCTCCCTGTACAGGACGAGTATGGCCCCTGGGATAGGTAACAAAAACATCCAATTGTGATGTAGAGTGAAGGTTGGATGAAGTCTCGTGTAATCAAACAAAAACACGTCAATCTTATGGAGACAAGCGCGGGAAAACGATTGGCTACTCCGAAAAACACTTTTCATTTGGTGATTTTCAGAAATATAGATATTTTTAACTTTAATTACTGGAGAAATAGAATTTTTAATTGCTTCAGGGACAGTTTAGGCGTATACAAGCTCACACACCCGGACGGAGATGAACGCCAGTCTGAGCTAACGTACGCCTAAGTGCACCTGACGCCTAACATAGCCAAGTTTACGCCCAACAAACTTGTCTCCACAATCGCGTAGTGTGGCGTCACCACGCGAGACAGAACACGAGACGATACATAACATTGAAGACGAAGGAAAGGCAAAAAGGGGGGAAAGAAAATGTAAAAAATAAACCAGAAATACAGACAAACAGAGAAAACGGAGGAAACGGGAGAGAAGTGGAGGGCAGACTCAAACAAACCTGTGATGGCAATCTTAGCAGACCACTTGCTAGTCCCGTCAAGCACTGATTGGTTCACCGACATCATGTGGCCTACGTGGCTCTTGTCCTCCACGCCAAAGACATCCCTATTTATTGGAGAAATAAAGTTCATCTCTGCTTGCAGGGGAAGAAGAGGCTATGGCCCATCCCACCTAGAGTAGCCCAGGATGGCTCTTTTTAAACTCATACTATGGTCACTGAAAGGGAATCTGACTCCACTCGGGTGAATCCAATACTACAATAATACAGTACTGAGTCTGAAAGGAAACATCCGCATGCCAGACTTGATTGAGACAACGTATGTATACAACAATAATTATAATATTAAAATACCAAACTAGCAAATTCTTCAAAAATAAATGACTAAAAATAATGAAAATACCGCAAAAAGTTTAAAATTAATATACTCTTATACAATACTTATACTGTTAAATTACTATATTACACTAAAACTCTGTTACAGTATAAGGAAAAATTAGGTTATATACACTTGCAATTACAGTACAGTACTATATCTATCATTACTTAAATTAACTTATAAAAATCTACCATCACTGTGCTCTAAGTAATTCTGAATAACTTATAATACTTAAGGAAAAATCAAATTACTTTATGCTTCATTAACACCTAATTAAGTTCACCTGAAGAATCACCATCCCAGGTAACCTAACTTAACCCAGCTTATTTCACCTACAGATCAACCACCCTTAACTTAACTTAACTTAACCTAACCTAACCTAACTTCATTGCCCTAATTAGCAAGAGGGTGACTAATCTTCAGGTGATGCAATAATAATAATAATAATAATAATAATAATAATAATAATAATAATAATAATAATAATAATAATTCTCTAACTAAAATAACAAGAATGAAGACAAATTATATTGAAGTTTCTTGTCTTGTGAAGAAACGTAAGACAAAAAAAGGTTACTTAAAATAGACATATGACTACTGAACTTAAAATAATGTCTTAAATATATCCAAATAAAACCATATATCCTTAACGGTATATAATTATAATATATACCTTATACTGCATATACCTGGTCTATATTGGCTGACGTATATACTATGAAACATACCACAAATATTTACACCTTATACTGAATATATTTCGACAATGGCTTAGTATATCCTGAGAAATATACCAATAAAATCTATACCTTATATTTGGTATATGTTTTATCACCCACAGTATTAGTAAATATTAACACTGATACCCTAATATTACTCTTATACTCCTTAATACTTAACCACACGATAAATTAAACATATTATTCCGACACTATTCATTATATTAAGCTGTTCTTGTTACACTATTCATTATAATAAGCTGTTCTTGTTACACTATTCATTATAATAAGCTGTTCTTGTTACACTATTCATTATAATAAGCTGTTCTTGTTACACTATTCATTATAATAAGCTGTTCTTGTTACACTATTCATTATAATAAGCTGTTCTTGTTACACTATTCATTATAATAACTTGTTCTTGTTACACTATTCATTATATTAACCTGTTCTTGTTACACTATTCATTATATTAACCTGTTCTTGTTACACTATTCATTATATTAACCTGTTCTTGTTACACTATTCATTATAATAACCTGTTCTTGTTACACTATTATTATAATAACCTGTTCTGTTACACTATTCATTATATTAACCTGTTCTTGTTACACTATTCATTATATTAACTGTTCTTTATAATTATTCATTATAATAAGCTGTTCTTGTTACACTATTCATTATAATAAGCTGTTCTTGTTACACTATTCATTATAATAAGCTGTTCTTGTTACACTATTCATTATAATAACTTGTTCTTGTTACACTATTCATTATATTAACCTGTTCTTGTTACACTATTCATTATATTAACCTGTTCTTGTTACACTATTCATTATATTAACCTGTTCTTGTTACACTATTCATTATAATAACCTGTTCGTTACACTATTCATTATAATAACCTGTTCTTGTTACACTATTCATTATATTAACCTGTTCTTGTTACACTATTCAATATATTAACCTGTTCTTGTTACACTATTCATTATATTAACCTGTTCTTGTTACACTATTCATTATAATAACCTGTTCTTGTTACACTATTCATAACAAATAACTGTTCTTGTTTTTCATTGCCAGAATATGAAGAAAAAAAATAGCGATTCTATGGTGTTTTGAAAGACTTGAAAAAATATTCTATGGCAAAATTAACACCAAATTATCTCTTCCATTATGTCTTGAGTTTATGTTTTCAGAAGAACCTATGGAGAATATTTTTTTTTACAACAATCTACATATATTTTTTTTCTCTAACTTGTAGATATAATGAGTTTGTAAATGTAAATATAATCATTAAAATAGAAAAGAATGATGGAAATTGAAATAAAGTGTAGGTTTATTTTTGACTGTACTTGTATATGATCAGAGCATAATTACTACCAGCTTGGAGTGGCATGGTTATAACGCGGTCCCGTAATGAGGACAATAGTCTATGATGCTTGAGAATGTAGGACTTATGAGCAAGGTAGTTATGATTATCACACACCTGGTTAGAGCTACACACACCTGTAATTACAGTCATGCGTGTAGAGTTCCAAGTACAGTATAATTTGCTGAAGTTCTGGTGATTAGACCATGAATTGATTGTTAGTAAGACTTTTCAAAGACCTTAACTATATTTGTTTCTGTTTTTCGATATTTGAAGAAAAAAAATTGACAAGAAAAAAATGTCCAATATCTTTGAAGTTATTGTTTTCCAGTATTTAATTCAGAAATTCTATATATGTATGTGTATACTTTATGCTGTATACACAATACATACATATGTATAGATTCAGCATATAACGTATTTTTTCATCTTCTTTAAAACAAATAAGCAACGCATTTTGTCTATTCATAATCACGACGAAAAACTCTTAAGTATTACATCGGGAATTTCATATTAATTTCGTCCATTCCTGCCCCCCTAAATATGAACGAAAACTATAATTCAAAAGTGCCGCCAAGGTAAGATAACTCTGAGTCAAAATAGCCGCCTGTGTAAACTGTATAAGTGATAAAAAAAAGTACCACAACTGATAAATTCGATTCAAAAGTACCGCCTGTGAATGATAACTAAAATTCAAAAGTAGCGCTGCCGAACTAGACTTAAATTCAAAAGTGCCGCCACCACGACTCACTCTCAACCAAAGAACACCTACTTCCCACACACGACCCTTGACCCACCCTGACCCACGACTACCCAGGACGACGAAGCAATTGGGCAACTGTTACAAACTTCGGGAAGAGTTGGGAATTGAAAGTTGAATGGATGGACGAATGGATCCACCTAACTCCCTGTGCTTCGTTACTGAGAGTTCGAGATCCTTTTTTTGTGGTTAGATTAGGCTGTAGTTAGGTTAGGTTAGGTTAGGTTAGGTTAAGGTTAGGTTAGGTTAGGTACTTAGGAGAATAATCATACAACTGCTCTCAAGACGAATATAATAAAGACACTAAGAATAAAGTGTTTCTCTGTGTGTGTGTGTGCGTGTGTGTGTGTGTGTGTAGTTGATGAGACAATTTAGACACTAATAGCTTTTAATTCTGGGAGGAGAGGAGCTGGGGGAGGGTAAGGAGAGAGGGGAGATGAGAAGGAATGAGGGAGGGAGGGAGGGAAGGAAGGAAGATATAGAAGATATAAAGAAAGAAATAATCCCAACCACAAACACCGAAAAATTCTCAGATTATTTCCCCGCAGTTGGGTCCACCATTGGAATTTAAGGCAAGAAACTTCAAAAATTCCTTCTGTGTGTGTGTGTGTGTGTGTGTGTGAGAGAGACGTGGGGTCATACTCGGGATTACTTCACCCTCTGGAGAATTGACAAGATGAAATACAAATACCCAAGCCGACTGAGGTAACGGAAGGAGAGAGAGAGAGAGAGAGAGAGAGAGAGAGAGAGAGAGAGAGAGAGAGAGAGAGAGAGAGAGAGAGAGAGAGAGAGAGAGAGAGCATCACCCTTGCCTCGATGGGAATTTTTTTTTAATTTTTTTTTTCACGGCGAAACAAATTTGTGTTTTCCAATATCATTAATTAGTCTGAAAAAAAAATATAGAAAAAATAAATGTTTACGTGATACAGTCTTATATTCCCCCGGAGGATTTATATTAAACCCGTAAGAGCGAATATCAATAGGTATTAGTGAAGAAAAACGCACTTAACTTCAAAACAACAATAACAATAATTTAAAAGCGGTCATGGTATAGCACTGTATTATTCCCAGACGGAAAACTTGGATTAGGTCGATAATCCTTAGGTGTCTGTATAGGTTAACGACCTTAAAATATCCTCGTAGATAGAAAACTAATCGACTCTTTAATCACATCGCACTACCTTGCCCCCAGACCAAAACAACATGACCTGTAAAGTTAAACAATTAACATTTCTTACCACATAGCACTATCATACCCCCTATATAACATTATAGTTCCCCTAAAACACCATAAAGGCGAGAATCGTAAGACTTAACACCAAGAAACACGAACTTAAAAAAAAAAAATCGAAAATTAACAATATTAAGAATTTTCCACCACATAGCACTATAATACCTCTAGACCAAAACAAAACAAAGTACACCCGGGCGTAGACTCCACAAGGGCGAGAATCCTACGGTAAACACTAGGCCAACACGTACCTAATAAGCTCGAAGATTTCTGGCGTCTCCAACTCTCTTTTCTTCATTCTTTCCTTCATGGCGGCGATAATATTATTGGTTTTATCTTCTGCACCATGTTTACTGCTCTTCTCTGCCGCTCCTGAAGTGGGTAAGCGTGGGCGTTAGTCGTGGGTTGGTGGGTGGGGTGGGGTGGGGTGGGAGTGTGGGTTGGTGGGGTGGGGAGTGGGTTGGGTGGTGGGTTGTGAATTGGTGTCAGGGCTAGAGTGGGTTTAGACAAGACGTATGTATATATATAAAGACATTAACACACACACACACACACACACACACACACACACACACACACACTTACTTCATTTCGATATAATATTTCATAGGGGGATCTTCTATACCTTCCCCCATAACAACATACACTATTCTCCCAGCCAATGACAACAACCCTCGTCATCATCCAGGGATATGATTGGCTGTGCTCGGACAAGAATCGACCCCCTATCGTGTTTTATTGGTGAACTTGGCTCCTGACGTAGTTGATGGCTGTTTATATGGGCGTATGTAGAGGCGTATGTGCGTAGGGGCGTATGTGCGTATTATAGGGTTGTATGTGCATTTTATAGGAGCGTATGTGCTTTTGTAGAAGTGTATGTGCATATTATCGGGGCTTATGTGCGTATTATAGGGGCGTATGTGCGTTTGTAGAGGCGTATGTGCGTTTGTAGAGGCGTATGTGCGTTAGTAGAGGCGTATGTGCGTATTATAGGGGCTTATGTGCATATTATAGGGGCTTATGTGCGTATTATAGGGGCGTATGTGCGTATTATAGGGTTGTATGTACGTTTTATAGGTGCGTATGTGCGTATTATAGGTCCAACTCAGGTCACATACTTAGAAAAGGTCACTAAGGATAGTAAGATGATGACGTCATTCTAATCATCTCTATTGATAAGACATATGCCAGAATGGTCGTTGGCTCTAATTTGACCCCTCCCCACGTGGACCCCTCTCTTCCTCCTCCCCCTCCTTCTGCTCTCCTCCCCGTGGACCCCCTCTCTCTTCCTCCTCCCCCTCCTTCTGCTCCTCCCCGTGGACCCCCTCTCTTCCTCCTCCCCCTCTCGCCTCTCCCCCGTGGACCCCTCTCTTCCTCCTCCACCTCCCCCCGTGGACCCCCTCTCATACCTCCCCCCGTGGACCCCCTCTCTCCCTCACCTCCCCCCGTGGACCCCCCTCTCTTCACCCTCCTCCCCCTCTCACCCCTCCCCCCTGGACCCCCTGTCTTCCTCCCCTCTCACCCCTCCCTCTCCCGTGGACCCCCTCTCTTCCTCCCCCCCGTGGACCCCCTCACCCCTCCTTCTCCTCCTCCTCCCGTTACCTCTTCCTCCTTCTGTACCCCCCCTCCCCTCTTCTCTTCCTCCTCCTTCTCTTCCTCATCATCGTCTTCCTCCTCGTCCTCCCTGTTTACTCTTTCATTCTAATTCTTTTTTTTATCATATTCGTCTCTTCCCTTCTTCTTCCTCATTTATTCCTCTCTCTCTCTCTCTCTCTCTCTCTCTCTCTCCCCATTCTCTTTAATTATCTCCCCTATTTCCTTCGTGCTGTGACTCTCTCTACTTTCTCTTACCTTTCTTTCCTCCCTCCCTTATTTTCCCTCCTCCCTTCCTCCCTTTCCCATATTTCCCTTCTTCCCTCCCTTTTATCTCCCTTGCCTTACCCACCTTCCTCCCTTTCCCGCTGGTTTCTTTTACATCCTAACTTTACCCATTCCATTTTTCCGTCTCGCTTCCCTTCCATTTTCTCTCCCTCCTCCCCTCAGAATGCTCCTTGATGCTCTTACACACCCCCCCTCCCCCTCCCAGAGATGTCCTTGATGTGCCCCTGAAGCCCCTCTCCTCCCCCCCCCTCCCCAGAATGCTCCTTGATGCTCTTACAAACCCCTCTCCTCCCCCCTCCCCAGAATGCTCATGATGCTCTTACAAACCCCCCTCTCCTCCCCCCACCTCCCAGGAGTGCTCATGGATCTGTCTTACAAACCCCTCTCCCTCTCTCCCCCCTCTCCAGAATGCTCCTTGATGCTCCTTCAACCCCTCTCCTCCACCCCCCTCCCAGAATGCTCCTTGATGCTCTTACAAACCCCCTCCCCCCCCTCCCAGAATGTCCCTTGATGTGCTCTTACAAACCCCCTCTCCTCTTCCCCCCTCAAGAATGCTCCTTGATGCTCTTACAAACCCCACCTCTCCTCCCCCCCCCTCCCAGAATGTGCTCCTTGATGCTCTTACAAACCCCTCTCCTCCCCCCCCCCTCTCAGAATGCTCCTTGATGCTCCCAAAGACAAACTCCTCAAGTAAGTTTGACGAAATAGAGGAGAAAGTAAACAGCCTCTGAGAATAAACTGTATCTCTGTGTTTGTTTACCTCGTCAAGCAACCCCGTGTCCGATACTGTACTCCTGACCCTGACTACGACTTAATGAGAAAACTTTTTAAATAATTTCCCTTCAATAACTGTAATCACCAAGCTCAATAACCGTATTTAATTTAATTTATGAAAGTGATAAATTAATAAAAAATAATAATCTTTAAAATAATAATTAAATTCATGAGTTATTGACAAATGGATGATGATTTGAAGGCAGATTTTTCATTTCACAAAACAAATTTGAATATAAATCAACGACATTTATATATTTAAAAAAAAATAACCAGTTTATATAAATTTATTTAAGTTCTAAAATTTTTATAAATTAATTAAAGGTTTTAGTAATTTATATTTAACATTCTATTAGTGAAGAAATATTTGGCAAGGCATTAATCCCGTCTGACACTATTACCGTCTAACATCTGGCACTATTACCGTCTAACATCTGCTTTTCATGCAAATCTAACATCTGGCACCTTACCCAAGTCTAACATCTACTAATATTTTCATACCGTCTGGCACTATTACCAAATCCTACTAACATCTCTAACATCTGGCACTATTACCGTCTAACATCTGGCACTATTACCGTCTATTGGGCACTATTACCGTCTAACATCTGGCACTATTACCGTCTATTTGGCACTATTACCGTCTAACATCTGGCACTATTACCGTCTATTTGGCACTATAAACCAATTAACAGGGCATATTGTCGACCTATCTAAGTAAAAACATCTTTGTAAACACACCCAAACAAAAACAAACAGACAGACAGACAGACAGACAGACACAGACAGACAGACATACACACCTGTACACCAAGTCTCCAATTCATCAAAGCATAACACTATTTTGCCTCATCCCCCCCCCCCACCCACCCCACAAGACTTGACTCAGCGCAAACCAATTTCATACCTGTGTTTCAAGGTGTTTGGGTTGTAATTAATAAAAACTCAATTATCTTGTACCAAAATATGTACTCTCCCTTCCCTCTCCACCCACTCCCTCTCTCCAGCCCTCTCCTCTCTCCCTTCCCTCTCACTACCTCTCTCCAGCCCTCTCCTCTTTCCATCCCTGTCTCTTCCCTCTCCAGCCCTCTCTCTACCCTCTTCACTCCCTCTCCAGTCACTACCCCCTTAACCCCCTCTCCTCCCCACCCCTACCCCTCTCCATCCCCACTCCAGCTGTACCGAATATGCAAATCGGAATTAATAATATGTATGTGGGTTAAAACTATGTTGCCCCGAGCCGTATCAATATTGCTTGTTGGAGAGAGAGAGGGGAGGGAGGGGGAGGGAGGAGGAGGGGAGGGGGAGGATGGTAAGCTTATGTGTATACATGTACAGTACACATACGACTATACATACCCTGTGTAAACCTTTCGTCAGTACACACACACACACACACACACATACACACACACACACACACACACACACTAATAAAAACTAAACCATTTTAAACCAGCCATAAAAACTAATGACTAATTATATAAACCAACTTCAATCAGTAAACCTAAACCCCGACTTATATCTGTAAATAAAATGGTTTAATAATAACAGAAAAAAAATAACAAAACAGATTACAACCTGGATTATATTATATCAATTACCACCACAATCACAAACAGTTATTACAAGCCAATCAATAACACAAGATTCAATCACCTAATCTAACAATAACTCAAATGTAATTACAGCCTCAATAACACGATTACTTTACCTCATTAATAACGACTACAACACCTAAACATAATTACAATACATCAATTAATACAACTTAAATCAATTACATTAATAACGTTCACCTGAATGTAATTACTCAGGTGTTCTGTAATTACAACTGTTTCACCTGTGTAATTAACCTTTGTATATGTAGACTGATTACTAACAGACATACTTAATACATACATACATACATACATACATTCAGCTGAGTAAAATATAAAGTATCCATAAATTACTAAACAATATTTTAACGTCTCCATGGCATCGCCAGGGGAAGCAACCAACATCGCCTGGCGGTTATAGGAGCCACGCCAAACGAACATTCGCTCGTCTTTTGTTTCCAGTGACGTTTATTTTTGCTTATTTTTTTTATGGTAAAAGTCATAAGGAACGACAAAGATACTTACGTTCAAGAAGAAGATGAACGACCTCTATATTTGGCGCCCAAGGGTGATACTGGAGCAGGTTGTAGGACGCTAAGGGTGACGTTATGCACAATAAAAGACGTGATTGGTGCGACGTCATCCACAACACGGCCCATGATTGGTGCAACGTCACGACGACAGGATATAGTGTAACGTCATCCACAACACGGCCCATGATTGGTGCAACGTCACGAGGACAGGACAGGGTGTGTGTGTGACGTTATCCACAACACGGGCCATGATTGGTGTGACGTCATCCACAACACGGGTCATGATTGGTGCAACGTCACGAGGACAGGACAGGGTGTGTGTGACGTCATCCACAACACGGGTCATGATTGGTGCACAACACACACGTCAACAAAGGAGGAAAAGGGTGCAAACATCCACAGTGAGATCATGCAATGGAGAGGCAAATAACAGACGGGAATTCCAACATTTCTCACTGAACACGACAAATTCCCAGAGTTTTTAGCCCTCGCCTGACACACGGATAACAATAATGACTTAACGGGAACTGAGAGACAAAGGCACGCGAAATTAACTCAGTTATTATTATTATTATTACAGTATTATTATTATTATTATTATTATTATTATTATTATGTCGTGTTCAGTAAAAAATCGTCCCAAACAAACAAACAAGGTGATTAAAACATTAAAACATCTAAATAAAACACAATCTACTTTCTACATCTGTTGTTTTAGTTTAAACCAACACATTACTGTACCGTGATATAAACCAATGCATGAATACTGAAGGACGGAACTGATAATTAAACCAATAAACTTAAAATAAACCAATAAACTTAAAATAAACCAATAAACTTAAAATAAACCAATAAACTGAAATAAACCAATAAACTTAAAATAAACCAATAAACTGTGAAATAAACCAATAAATCAACTAAACCAGGTAATAAACCCACTAATTAATACCTCACAATTCATTAGGATTAAACCAGCCGACATGAGGAAGGATTATCTCATTAGTGCAGGTAATCCCCCTCAAATTAATGTAGGGATTAACTAGGGAATTAATTTACGTGTATAGTGAAAGGTTTACAGGAAGAGGATAAACCATGCATTGATTTATATGGTGTAAACAACGCAAACAATTTAAGCTATGGAAATAAATATGGTGTAAACAGTGTAAAAAATTAATATAGAGAGTGTAGAGAATGCAAACAATTATTTCATAAGGTTCAAATAATATAAACAACTTAATGAACAGGACCCAAACAATACAGAAGTTTAAACCCATGCAAACAATTTTAAAACTCAATAAAACAGAGAAAAGTAAAAAAAATTAAATAAAAATTAAATACGGTTTATAAACAATATCTAAAACTACAGGTAAAATAAACCAAGATAAAACATAAACACTGAGACTCATAAACCGTAATTAAAACTTAAATTAATATTAAACCTTACCTGGATGTTTTAATTAAACCCGGAAGTAGAGAAAACGATAATAGAATGAGGTTTAAAAGTCCCCAATGTACGGAAAGTAGGGAAAGGAGGGAAAGAGGGAAAGGAAGAGGGAAAGCAGAAAAATAGGAGGAGTGGAGGGAAGAGGGGGTAGAGAGAAGAGGAGAGGGAAGAAGGAAGGAAGTTGAAGCGAAGAAGGGGAAGGAAGGAAGTGGGGTGAAGGAAGGAAGGAAGGAAGGAAGGAAGGAAGGAAGGAAATTAAAATATACACTTTGTGCTCAAACTTTGCCAGGTTTGAACTTTGTTGAGTTGGTCGTCTTGCCTAAACTAGGCTATGAGGATCCAGGATGGTGGGGGAGCAGGGAGGGGAGGAGGAAGGGGGGAGGGAGGGGGGAGGGGGGGAGTGGGGGAGGGGGGGGGGGAGGGGGGGAGTGGGGGGGGAGGGGAGGGGAAGGAGGGGGAGGAGGGGAGGGGCGAGGGGAGGAGGGGAGTAGGGAAGGGGAGAGGGAGGGGAGGAGGGGAGGGGAGTAGGGAGGGGAGGGGAGTGGGGAGGGAGGGGAGGGAAGATGAAGAGAGAAATAGGAAGAGATTTAAATGTGAGGGGATAGAGCAAAGGAGGAGTAGGGAGGAGGGAAGAAAAGGAGGAATGTAGGGAAGGGGGAAGGGAGGGGAAGAGAAGAGGAGGAGGAAGAAGAGGAGGAAGAGGAGGAGGGAAGAGGGAGAGGAAGGAGAGGAGGAGGAGGGAGGAGGAGAGGAGGAGGGAGGAGGAGGAGGAGGAGGAGGGAGGGAGGAGGAGGAGGAGGAAGAAGAGGAGGAGGAGAGGAGGAGGAGGAGGAGAGAGGGGAGGAGGGAGAGGAGAGGAGGAGGAGAGGGAGGAGAAGAGGGAGGGAGGAGGGAGGAGAGGAGGGAGGAGGGGAGGAGGGTGAAGAGGAGGAGGAGGAGGAGGGAGGGGAGGAGGTAGGAGGAGAGGAGGAGGAGGAGGAAAGAGGAGGAGGAGGGAGGAGGGAGGAGGAGGGGAGGAGGAGGAGGAGGAGGAGGAGGAGGGAGGAGGAGGAGGAGGGAGGAGAGGGAGAGAGGAGAGGAGGAGGAGGAGGAGGAGAGGGAGAGGAGAGGAGGAGGAGGAGGGAGGAGGAGGAGGAAGAAGGGAGGAGGAGGAGGAGGAGGAGGAGGAGGAGGAAGACGAGAGGAGACGCAGGGCTGTCTGGAAAAGTGCAACTCTCTGGGCTGTCAGGCGTGGAGGAACATTTATCATGGCTACTGAACGACTGGGTAAGGATTGGATATTTCAGGGTATGATTGGATAAAATGGCTAAGGATTGGATTCGTGGAAGCTAAACTCGGTAAGGGATTGGATATTTCAGGGTATGATTGGATATTCTAGGGTAAAATGGTAAAAGATTAGAATTTCAAAGGTAAATACATTAAAGGAGAGAGAGAGAGAGAGAGAGAGAGAGAGAGACGCTCGTCATCCACTTACCTTTTAGTCAACGATGAAGAGATCTTGATACTTAATGCTATAATCGACGCAACAGACAGGTAGACAGATAATTAGACAGGTAGACAGACTGACAGTAGCTACACACTCCCAAACAGAGACAGAAGTGTATACTAGCTACGTACTCTATAGACAGTCAGAATTAAACAGGAAAAATGACACACACACACACACACACACACACACACACTCACACTCACACACACACACACACACCCACACACACCAAGAACTAAACACGAAAGCACTTACTCTGCAAACAGTCAGCATTAAGAAGATCTTTACACTTCTCGTGACACTTAACACCGCATTCGACGCAGCGTACACCCTGGCGAGCGATGCCCCAGAGAAGTCCCTCACACTCGTAGCAGTAAGTAGGTGAGGTAGCTGTCCACATGAGGAAATTGTGAGGCGTGGTAGACGAGATCGGGTAGATAAGGGCCTGGAGTGTTTTCTTATATACGTGCATTTTCTGTAATGGTTGGTTGGAGGTGACGATGAGAGAGGCAGATTAGTATTGCTCTGGTGACAGGGGGAGAAGGTGAAATGGGGGAGGGGAGATTATGGGGTAGGGGGTGAAGAGTTATAAAGGTGGGGGGTTGTCATTGGAGGTAGTAGTTTAAAGATGGGGAAGTCACTAGAAAGATAACATGATGGGTTAATGGGGTTCATGGGGGAAATGGGAATACGTGGGTGAGTGATGGGTGAACAGGGTTATGGGGGGGTGAGTGGTAATGGGGGAGGTGTAGGTAAAAACAATGAGGGTAAAGATGAGAGGTCAAGAGGTCAAGAGGTCAAGAGGTTACTTAACGATACACCATGTTGTAGGGGATGGTTGTGACGTAACTAACAACACCATAATCTATGATGTTTTGAAATGTGATTTGACTAATACTTGCGATAATAGTGTAAAATAATAATAATAGACGAAATAATAGTAATAATAGCCTAAAATAACTACTAAAAGAACAATAGTCGTAATAAAAGCCGTAAATAACAGACCAAAATTAACAAAAGTCAGAAATACTCGTAATAATAACACGTTTTTATTACTCGGTCAACAAAGGTGATTGAATTTGGGATTAAAAATATGTTTCCTTTGTTTAAAATTAATTATTATAAAGGAGAAGACAAAGAAGGTGGATAAATGAGAGAGAGAGAGAGAGAGAGAGAGAGAGAGAGAGACGTAATATATACACATCCCTATCACCTATATAAATTTTAATGCCATATACATTATAACAAGGCAATTGACCTATAATGACCTTTGAAAACTCAGCTTATGGGGTTAGTTTATATAAGGGAAGGTCAATTAGCCTTATGAGTGTGGTTGGAATGGTGGTAGAAGGGAGGATGATTGGAATTGCGGTAGGGGTATGGGTGTAATGTTGATTGGTGGTAGGGGTGGTAGTTGTGGTAGGGGATAGTGGTAAGGGATGGTGGTAGTGGGAAGGGAGTGATGGTAGGAAAGGATGATGATAGTGGTAGTTGTGACTGGGAAAGGGTGCTAGTAATGGTGGTAGTGATACTGGTTATGAGGGGGGGGGATTGTAGTAGTGGTGACAAGGGAGGAGAAACAAGTGCTGGTGGCGATGGTGGTAGGTGAAGGAATACTGGTAGTAGTGGTAGTAATGGTGGCAGGTTAAGGAATACTGGTAGTGATGGTGGTAGGTGAAGGAATACTGGTAGTGATGGTGGTAGGTGAAGGAATACTGGTAGTAGTGGTAGTAATGGTGGCAGGTTAAGGAATACTGGTAGTGATGGTGGTAGGTGAAGGAATACTGGTAGTGATGGTGGTAGGTGAAGGAATACTGGTAGTAGTGGTAGTAATGGTGGTAGGTGAAGGAATACTGGTAGTGATGGTGGTAGGTGAAGGAATACTGGTAGTGATGGTGGTAGGTGAAGAATAGGTAGTAGTGGTAGTAATGGTGGCAGGTAAAAGGCAATGGTAGTGATGGTAGGTGAAGAATACTGGCAGTAGTGGTAGTAAGGTGGAGGAATACTGGTGTGATGGTGGTAGGTGAAGGAATACTGGTAGTAGTGGTAGTAATGGTGGCAGGTGAAGGAATACTGGTAGTGATGGTGGTAGGTGAAGGGAACACTGGTAGCAGTGGCAGTAATGGTGGTGGTTACGAATACTGGTAGTGATGGTAGGTAGAATGAATACTGGCAGTGAGAATGGTGGCAGGTTACGAATACTGGTAGTGATGGTGGTAGGTAAGGAATACTGGTAGTAGTGGTAGTAATGGCGGCAGGAAGGAATACTGGGTAGTGATGGTGGTAGGTAGTGAACACTGGTAGCAGTGGTAGTAATGGTAGGTGAAGGAATACTGCAGTGATGGTGGAGTAGGTGAACACTGGCAGTAGTGGAATGGTGGTAGGTGAAGGAATACTGGTAGTGATGGTGGTAGGTGAAGGAACACTGGTAGTAGTGGTGGTAGGTGAAGGAATACTGGTAGTAGTGGTAGTAATGGTGGCAGGTAAGCGAATACTGGTAGTGATGGTGGTAGGTGAAGGAACACCGGTAGTGATGGTGGTAGGTGAAGGAATACTGGCAGTGATGGTAGGTATGAACACTGGTAGTGATGGTAGTAGGTAGGAACACCGGTAGTAGTATGTATGGCGGCAGGTGACGAACACTGGCAGTGATGGTGGAAGGAAAGAATACTGGCAGTAGTGGTAGTAATGGTGGCAGGTGAAGAATACTGGTAGTGATGGTGGTAGGTGAATGAATACTGGTAGTAGTGGTAGTAATGGTAGGCGTGTATGAACACTGGTAGTGATGGTAGTAGGTGAAGGAATTGGTAGTAGTGGTAGTAATGGTGGCAGGCATGAATTGGTAAAGATGGCGGTAGGTGAAGGAATACTGGTAGTGATGGTAGGTGAAGGAATACTGGTAGTAATGGTAGTAGTGAAGGAATACTGGCAGTGATGGTGGTAGGTGAAAGAATACTGGTAGTAGTGATAGTAATGGCGGTAGGTGAATGAACACTGGTAGTGATGGTAGGTGAATGAACACTGGCAGCAATGGTGGTAGGTGAAGGAACACCGGTGTGATGGTGGTAGTAATGAACACTGGCAGCGGAGGATGGCAGAAGTAATGAACACTGGAAAGGGATGGTGGCAGGTGGAACACTGCAGTATGGTAGAAGTAACGAACTGGTAGTGAAAGTAGTGGCAGAATGAACACTGGTAGTGATGGTGGTAGGTGTGAGAATACCGGTGGCGATGGTGGCAGGCATGAATACTGCAGTGATGGTAGGTAGCGAATACTGGAGGTGGCGGATGGCAGAAAGTAATGAATACGCAGTGATGCAGGTAGGAAATATTGGCAGTGATGGTAGGTGAAGGAATACTGGCAGTGATGGTGGCAGGTAATGAACACTGGCAGTGATGGTGAAGGAACACTGGTGCGTGATGGTGGTAGGTAAGGAATACTGGTAGTATGCAGGATGGTAGGTGAATGAACACTGCAGTGATGGTGGTAGGTGTAATGAACACTGGCAGTGATGGGGCAGGTAATGAACACTGGCAGTGATGGTGCAGAAAGGTAATAACACTGGGTAGTGGATAGGTAGGAATGTACTGGTGTGATGGTGGTGGAGAATGAACACCGGCAGTATGGTAGTGATGGTAGCAGGTGAAGAATACTGGTAGTGATGGTGGTAGGTGAAGGAATACCGGTAAGATGGTAGGTGAATACTGTGAGATGGGTAGGGTGAAGGAACACTGCAGGATGGTGTAGGTATGGAATACTGGTAGTGATGGTAGGTGAATGAACACTGGTAGTAGTGGCAGGATGGTGGTAGGTGGCGAACACTGGCAGTAATGGTGGTAGGTGAAGGAATACTGGTAGTGATGGTGGTAGGTGAAGGAATACTGGTAGTGATGGTGGTGAAGGAATACTGGTAGTGGTGGTAGGGCTGAACACTGGCAGTGGCAGGATGGTGCAGGTGAATGAACACTGCAGTAATGGTAGGTGAAGGAATACTGCAGTAATTTGCAGAAAGAATGGCACTGGAGTAGTGGTAGTGATGGTGGTAGGTGAATGAACACCGGCAGAATGGTGGTAGGTGGGGGGAATACTGGTAGTGATGGTGGTAATGTAATACCGGCAGTGATGGTAGCAGGTAATGAACACGGCAGTGATGGTGGTAGTAATGGTCACTGGTAGTGATGGTGGTAGGTGAATGAACACTGCAGGGGTAGTAAGGTGGTAGGTAAGGAACACTGGTGGTGACAGAAAGTAATGAACACCGGCAGTGATGGTGGTAGGTGAAGGAATACCAGTAGATGGTGGTAGGGATGAACACTGGCAGTGATGGTAGTGTAATGAACACTGCAGTGATGGTGGAGGTAATGAATACTGCAGGTGGTAGCAGTGAAGGAATACTGGCAGTGATGGTGGTGAGTAAACGACGAAGACGGTGGTGGAAAGAAGAAATACTGGGTAGTAATGGTGGTAGCAATGAACACCGTGCAGTGGTGGCAGGAAGGAACACTGGCAGATGGTGGTAGGTGAAGCGAACACTGCAGTAATGGTGGTAGGCGAATGAATACTGGAGTGATGGTGGTAGTGAAGGAACAGTAGTGAAGGTGGTGGAGGGGCAAAGGGAAGAAGGTAGAAGGAACACTGGGCAATGGTAGGTAAAGGAATACTGGTAGTGATGGTGGTAGGTAATGGAATACTGTAGTGATGGTGGTAGGTGAAGGAATACTGGTAGGAGGGTAGGGTGGCAATACTGGTAGTGTGGTAGTGAAGAACATCAGTGATGGTGGTAGTGTAAAGAATACTGGTAGTGATGGTGGTAGGTGAAGGAATACTGAAAGATGGGTGAGAGGTGGGAAATACCGGTAGAGTGATGGTAGTGGTTTAACACTGAGTAATGGTGAAGGTAATGAACACTGGTAGATGGAGGTAATGAACACAGGTAGAAGGCAGGAAATGAATACTGCAGTGATGGTGGTAGGTGAAGAATACTGGTAGTGATGGTGGTAGGTGAAGGAACACTGGTAGTGATGGTGGTAGGTGAAGGAAAACTGGCAGTATGGTGGTAGGAAGAACACTGCAGTGAGTGGCAGGCAAAGAACACTGGGTAGCATGGTGGTAGGTGATGAACACTGCAGATGGTAGTAATGAACACTGGCAGTAGTGGCAGTGATGGCAGGTAATGAACACTGCAGTAATGGTGCAGCAGTAAGGAACACGCGAAAGATGGTGGTAGGTGAATGAACACCGGTAGTGGTGGTAGTGAAGGAATACTGGTAGTGATGGTGCAGGTATGAATACTGGTAGTATGGTGGTAGGTGAAGGAATACTGTAGTGATGGTGGTAGGTGAAGGAACATGTAGTGGTAGTGATGGTGGTAGTGGGAATACTGCAGTAATGGTGGTAGGTGAAGGAATACTGGTAGTGATGGTGGTAGGGAACAGAGTGGAATACTGAGGTGGTGGTAGGTAAGGAACACTGGT